TAACTTATTTATTGACTGTACCTTCCATTTAAGATATTACTCAGAAAGTTGATACTAAGAGGACTAAATTATCATATGATGTTAATTTAGAACAAAAGTTATTTAAAAATTTTTATCAAGAATATTGCTTGAATTTTTTTAAAAATACTGTCAAAGAAACTAGGACATCAAAGTACTCTAGTTACATTACTATTATTTCTAAATCCTTCTTGTGATCTGACATGCATTGTGTTATGTAAAGCATTTGTAACAGCCAAATCATTTTAGACCAGAAATTTCTTCTTCCATTCATCTGACTCTTCTACCATGAAGTGCACTTTGTATACACTCAACTATCCTGAATTTTCACTTTCTATTTCCCGAGTCCATGCCTGGATTACTCTGTCCAGTCATTTCCCGAGTTTTCCAAATGGTCAGGCTTTTACTGCAATTTCAGCCTGGCCCAGAAATATGGCTGTTTGTGTAATTAATTCGTCAGTCGATCCATCAATGACCACTATTATATCTTTTTTTTGTATACCTATTGAAACTTTTTCATAAGTTGAGAAAAAACAGTGCTTAATTCTGCTGTTTCTAGAGATAAATGATAGATACATTTGATGATCTTGATACAATTTTAACATCACTTTATTAACATAATTAGTCAGTGTTTATTATGTCAGTCAGCTTTATTAATATAATAATTTAGTGTTAGTTATAAAGTGTGCACTTTATTAACATAGTTAATCAGTGTTAGATCAGTGATCTTGACAACAATTTATTATTATAACACCTTTCAACAACAAGGCTTCAGAAAGCATTTTGTGTAATTAAGCTTAAAGTCTTCATTACTGTAGTCCTGTGTGCAGAAATAATAAACATTTTGAAGACGTGGTAGCTTAACGTTTTCGCAATGGCGCACCTTTGTTTAAGACGCTCGTGCGGGACGGAAGAGAATCGAAGGCAGTCACCATACAAGACGGAGATTTCGCATCGCTAAGCCTAATTTTATAACAAAAATCAGAAAAACTAAAGTTTCGCTTCTAGAATCGTAATTTTTGGTATCATTTTAGATTATTACTTGAGGTCTTATATATGTTCAAATTAGTCCTTAAAACATTTTTTTCTTTATTTTACATGAAAATATACTTCAAAAATTGCTTATCTTCTAAAATAATTTTCGGAAGCGCTATTCAAATTATTTCAAAGTTTTAATTGATAAAAATCCATAAATAAAGTTTAAAATTAATAAAAAGAACACAATAAAGACTATTTACAATAAGAAGTAAAAAAATTTTAAATGAAAACGAGTGTGGTAAATCTCGAAGCACAGAGAAGTATCACTTTGTAACTCTTAGAAAAAGTATCACTTTTTAACTCTTTAGAAAATGAATCAGTAGTCTCATTTGCATTAGTAAATGGTTCACTAACCATACTAGGGTATTCTTCCTCTGATAAATAGTGCCTTCCTGCCATAATAGACTGGAGGTGAGGCTTTCCTAAATAAAAAAAGAAGGAACGAAAATATATCTGAAGGCAATGCAAAACGTAAAAAAACTCCGCACAGTAACCCTAAAAGACCAAACGTAGTAGAGGAAAAAAATAGAATAAAAAAAGGAATTGGGTATAAATCAAATACGAGAATGTTTTCATTAGCACGCAGCAATTTAAAGAGCCCACCTATGTTTATGCTTTCCCTGCGCCCCCACCCTCGAATAGCTGATGAGTAAAATACCAAAGTCAAGCAGAATATATCAAACTGAAGGTCAGAAACTTAAAACTGTGTTCATTTCAAAAGTAATGGACACAGGATGCCATCTAGTGGCCTTCAGAAAAATGTTCCACCTTAAAATGCGTATACGCATCACCCGTCCTCTGAATGCGATCTTTACTGATGCGTGGATGGGACGCCCGGCTGTAAGAGGCGTTCTTAGGGAATGCGTATTTGGGACGCCCGTCCTGAAAGGGTTAAGCACCAGCTAATAACGGGTGGTATCAATTCATAGCAAAAATAGAAATACTTAAAAAGTTTCTTGTTTAAAATTTACTTAGCTACTACTAATGCTAGACCTCGCATTAAAGGGGGGATGTTATTTAGAGGCTTGATAATAAGCTCAAAAAGCATTCATGTGTTTGTTTCAATATACTGATGTTGCTTAAGCTATTTATTTTTTTAAGGGCTAAATGAAGGAACTCATGATTAAGAAATAAATTTCTGAAAAATAATTTAAAGAAATTAGGATCTAAAAATTTCAAGTTAGTAAACACTGTAATACACATACCAGTTATCTTTGAAATATTTGTTTTAATAGAATGCACATTTAAAAAAAAATTTAGAAAATCAAAGCTACAAGAAATAATTTAGATATTTTATGTTCACTTTTAAGTAAAATAAAGGCTGGCTGAAAAAGAATTTGTTTTAAAAGTTGTGCTTCTTTCTGCATTTATTTTTTGACTATAAAATGGTATAAACAAACAAACAAAATAAAATTTAAATGAATTATATTACCATTTAAATAAAATTAAAAAATATAAATTAAATTATAACAAATTTAACAAACACGTATAAAAATAAAAAAAGCAAATTTAAAGCAAAAAAAAAAAAAGATTTAATTCTTGAACTAATCTACAATATCATTTAAATTCAGAAGCATAAGCAAATCAAGTGCAAAACCAATCCATGAAAATAAATTCACTAATTTAGCAAATAAAAATTAATCCAAACAATTTTTTTTTTTAATGCATTAGTGAATGACTGTTGAGCAGGCAGGAGACAGACTTATCAAGGGGAAGTTGCCTCCAAACCTAACTCTCCAATCATTCAATTCGTGTTTTGTCATTCATGCAGGCAAGGGTAAAAGTCAAAACCAAAAGTAAAAAGTGAAGAATGTCCAAAGAGAAATACCAATAAAGTGGTACCTTTAGAAATTAGCATTTAAGAATTAAAGTTCTAAAAGGAAAATACTAATGAAGTCTTTTGAGAAACAAGCAAGTAAAGTCAAGTATTAAATTAAAATAAAAAAAAAAAAACTAATTTTTTATAAAAAATAATCTAGAAACTAATGTATTTTAGAAACCCTTGTCTACAGAAACCTTCCCGACACGAATATGCATATCAATAAAAAAGAATTAGACATAATCCATATAAATCAATAAAGAAACAAAAAGAACTAATTCACAATTTTAAAAAACAAATATATACTTAAAAAATAATTTCATATCTAGAAAATACTTAAATACTACATAAAAAAATTTTAAAAAAAAAATACTTAAATCAAGTTTTTATGAGATAGGCATATTCGTGTCGGGGGAGGTTTCTGTAGACAAGGGTTTCTAAAATACAGTAGTTTCTAGATTATTTTTTATAAAAAATTAGTTTTTAAAAAAATTTAATTTTTTTAAAAAAAGTTTAATTTACCACTTGACTTTATTTGCTTGTTTCTCAAAAGACTCCATTAGTATTTTCCTTTTAGAACTTTAATTCTTAAATGCTAATTTCTAAGGTTACCACTTTATTGGTATTTCTTTTTGGACATTCTTCACTTTTTACTTTTGGTTTTGACTTTTACCCTTGCCTGCATGAATGACGAAACACGAATTGAATGATTGGAGGGTTAGGTTTGGAGGCAACTTTCCCTTAATAAGTCTGTCTCCTGCCTGCTCAACAGTCATTCACTAATGCATTAAAAAAAAAAAATTGGTTGGATTAATTTTTATTTGCTAAATTAGTGAATTTATTTTCATGGATTGGTTTTGCACTTGATTTGCTTATGCTTCTGAATTTAAATGATATTGTAGTTTAGTTCGAGAATGAAATCTTTTATATGTTTACTTTTTTTTTTTTTTTTTGCTTTAAATTTGCTTTTCTTTCTCTCTTTTTTTTTTTTTTTTTTTTTTTTTTTTTTTTTTTTAATTTTATTTTGGCTTTAAATTTGCTTTTTTTACTTTTATACGTGTTTGTTAAATTTCTTATAATTTAATTTGTTTTAATTTAAATTTTAAATTTAAATTTCATTCCTTGCAGCAATGGCACAAAGAATTATTTAATTAAATTTGTTTTTAAATTAAAATTAAATTAAATTTTTTCTTATGAAACAAATTTAAAATATACATATAAATAGGCTTCCAGTCTGTTATTAACACATAAAATGCCACACTAACAAATATCTATAATGGGGGGGGGGAGTTGTAATTAAATATTATAATAGTCAACATGTAGAATTTACTGTAATAACATTTTTTATCTGCTGTCTATAAAAATTGATAATAATAGTGGGGGAAAATATTTGTCACAGATAGCCAGCCCATCAGTGTGATTAGTGTAGATAAGTCATTGACAATTTTATTTTGGTACAGTATGTTGCATCAGTCACATTTAACACGGTAGTCATGAAAAAAGTGGTGGACAAATATATTTTAAGTTAAAACGCATGTGTATTATCAACCATATGCAAGTCCCACTGACTTGGTCAAATCAAACATTCCCAGTGATTTGGTAAACCATTAATCACATGTTCCCAACATTAGCAGTATATATGTTAAAGAAATTAAAAAAAACTTTAAATGATTGTTAAAGAAGTAAATTTTGGGCAAAAAGAAGAAATAATTGGCATCAGATTCATTAGATTTTATTTATATTGCAGACTAGTATAAACAAGAGATTTAGTTATTAGAATAATTTTATTTATTATACTCATATAAAATAACATATATTATAAAACATTATTAAGAAGTTTAAGTAAAATTACCTTTTTAATAAATTAACTTCCACTGTTTTGAGTGGCACATTTTTATGATACTAAAAGTCGAAAGATTGTAAACATTATCTTGAAGATGAACAAAAGACCTCATACATCATCAGTTGGCAACGAAATTTTTTGTCTGGGATATAATTTTAAGTGAAAACAATGACAATTCTTCAGGCTGTTAAAAAAAAAGCTATGCAAATAGCCTCTTTTCCCCCAATGTTTCATTAAGTGTATGCTGTAGTTTATTTATTGAAGTATATTTTCTTTTTCTAGTTGATGTTAGTTTTTATTTGGCGGATAATCTGCAGACAGAAGTATCATGGATTCCCAACAAGCATTACTCTGGTGTTTATGGTCTTATGAAACTGGTATTACCCAGAGCATTGCCAGATACTTTAGAAAAGGTATTTAATATTTGTGATATTGCATATGAATTTGGTATTTACATTTCTTCAAACTCATGCGTAAATAAATTTCTTATTGTTTTTAAATGATAATTATCAGTGTTACCTTCCTTTTAATAGGTTATTGTTTTAGATACTGATGTCACTTTTGCAACTGATATTGCGGAATTATGGCGGATCTTTAGGAAACTTTCTACAAAACAGGTGAAAACTGATTTGACTATTCGATTTAATAAAAGTATAAAAACAGAAAGTCATACTTATATCAACAATGAGTATTATTTACACAATTGTACAAGAGATGATCAAATGAAAAGGTACGAAACGACACGGTGGGTACAAATGTAGACTTTATTCAAAATATACACCATAGACCTGAGCACAATGATCCCACTGATGAACAAGCCACAGGATTCCTTGTTCCCAGAATTCCTGTGGCCGTGATGAGACCCAGTCCTTCACAGCATCCTTGAGTATGTCGTCCGAGTTTATCTTTCAGGTGTTTCTTCAGTGGACCAAACACATGGAAATTGCAGGGTGACATGTGCGGCCAGTTCCATGTGTGTGACTCTGGAGACGTGTGGACGTGCGTTATCATGGAGCAGAACCACACCCTCCGTGAGCAGCCCCGGTCTTTTGTTCTTAATGGACCTGCGTAGGCATCGGAGTGTCTCACAGTACACATCGAAGTTAATTGTGCTTGAAGAATTCCACAAGTAGCGGACCTTGAACGTCGAAAAAGACGGTGAGCAACACATTGCCTGCTGACGGCACAACTTTGAACCTTTTAGGGGGAGGTGACAACGCATGCTGTCCCGCTTTGTCTCTGGCTCCTAGTGATGGCACCAGGTCTCATCACCTATGACGATCCGCTCCATGAAAGTGGGGTCTTCCTGATACCGAAACAGATGTTGCAGTTCCTTTTGCTGGTTGGTGAGCTGCTTCGGAACCCAAGTGGCACACACCTTTCGATATCGCTACTTGTCGTGAACAATTGTCCGTACGGTTCCATAGCTGACATCCACCTTCACCGTCAGCATTCGCAATGTGACATGCTGATCACTTCTCACTAGGTCATTCACCTTGTCGATGAGTTCGCTCGTGATGATAGTGTTTGCCTGGCCTGGTCTCGGGTCATCACCCACACTGTCACGGCCTGCACGAAAACGGGCACTCAATTTTCTGACAGACTTGTCAGAGACACATTTCTTCTCGTAAACTGTCACCATATGGCGATGAATAGCTGCCGATTTCTCACCTTCTGCTGTCAGAAATCGGATAATACCTTGCTGATCTTCAGTCATCACATTTTGCAACGCGAACACCATCCTGTCCTCATACGGACTGCCACGTCATTTGGATGACACTTTTGATAAGAGCCTCTGCTCTCTCCTGCATATGCGGGCGCCCGCGCACGCTCCGATCCCAGTCAGGGACTCCATTTGCATCCTGAGATGTTCGCTACGTTCGTTCGTTCGCTACGTTCTCCCATGGCGGAATATGCAAATATTTAACTGTTACGTTTTTACGTCGTTTCATACCTTTTCATTTGATCACCCCTTGTATATTAAATTATAATGTGGCATATTATTGTCATAAAAATATCTGATTACTTTTTTTTTTTTTTTTAAAGAAAGTAGCTATGTGGTATTTAAATCATGTAAAAAGCTTTTGGACTAAAAGGACCTTGTTGTAAAACAAAGCTGGAAAATAGGTCTAGAGTTTAATGAGAAAAGATTTGAATTATCATAATCAATTTAAATATTTGTTTTCTGGTTTGTTATTTATTCATTTTTACTTTTTAAAGTGCATTTTATATCTTAAATTATATAGTAATATTCATAGATATTAAAAATGTAGAATTATCTGTCATAAGACAAAGTAATAGTTTTGGAAAGTTCTAAATATTAGTCGTTATTGTGCTTAATTGGTTAGAATTTGTTTGAGTTGGCATCCTGTTCCATAAATATCTTTGTCATAGTGAGATTTAATAATTTTTTTGTCTTTGTAATAAGTGATAGGAATCTCTTTATTTTTTAGATATTTGGAATTATAATTCCAAATCATTAATGTCCTAAAAATTATTTTTACACACTTTATACATACAGTCATTAATGATCAGACACCCATCACAGTATAAACATTAATCAGCTTTATGTCATCAGTATGCATCATAATTTATTAAAATCACTGGGAACTCAATAACAGACTTACATACTGGCTATTGCTACTAAAATGAACACAGCACGCAAAATTGATAAAACTCAGCATTATATGTTTATTGGTGCCCACTGATTCAGTCATTTCATCCATGAGATTTAAAGGTCCTGTGGGGGAAGAGTTAGTGATGTTGCTTTGGAATGGAAACTCTAAAATGGACAAATCAGAATCATTTAATGCATTTGATGTATGTGAAGTCAAACTGGTAGGCTTCATAAGAAAACTGTGGTTACTCACTTTCAAATTGCTTTGGGAAACAATCCCAACAAGCCACTTGGTGAGATTTTGCAATTAAATTCCATGGGTAAGCTGTAGCCATTGATCACTGCATGGAATACTACCTTTTCACTCTAAAGTAGTCGACTAACATCCTGTGGAGTAATGAATCATTGTCCATGTTTAATGGAGTTGTCATAGCATGTGAAGATCTGATGGACATAAGTGATTGCCAAGGGAATGCTGCTTACCAGAATCTTAACGTTCCACTATGAAGTCTGATGGACAAGATGACTTGTTTTTCTTAACCTAGTCTCACCTGTTATTTTTTATGTCCAGAACATTGCATTAAAGTACTGTGAAGCGTTACTGGATTTTCTATTCTGCTTAATCTATTGCAAGAGCTTAGAACCAGTCCCCTTCTTTTCATTTCCTTATGCGAAGTAAGGAGGTATTGTAATCGTGAAATTTTTTAGTATCGTATTTCAATGAAAATATCCATTTTGATCACTCTCAAATCCACTTGAAAAATATTTTTTTTTTCCCTTGGCATCTGTGTGTTAGAGATGGGCAAAGCCACTCCTTAAGGGATCAGATAGGAACCGTTCACTCACTGAAGTGAATCAGTTCTTTTTATTGATTCATCATTAACTGACAGTGACCTTGATGAATGCACTCAGAGCAAGTGGGGTTCAAGAGCAGTTTGCAAAGAAGAGGGAAAAGCAGAAAGAATCGAACAAGGAATAGGATCGGTGGAATCAAACAAACTGCTCACTTGCTGAACTGATTTCTTTCAACTGTACTTTTGATATTCCCTAAAACACCCTTCTAGATAGACTTACCAATAAAATTCTGGGATTAAAAATTGCTAAAAAAGTTTAAAAATAATGAAAACTAAATTCACTTTCGTTAAAGATATTATTTTATTACTACAATTGATATTTTGTTGCTGCCACAAAGAACAGAGTAAAAATAAATTATTAGGTGAAGGCAGATCCCAAAGAACAGGAAAATGTCATCTGCAATACTGTCATTTTCTTTCTTTCTCTTTTTTAATCTAATTTGACAAAATGATACCAAATATCACTCCAGGTTCTTCTATATGTTAGGCTTGAAATTTTGTTCTGCAACCTTGAAAAAGTACATTAGATGGAAAAATTTGTGTTTATAAATATATACTAATTCTAAAGAATATTAAAGAGAAATTCATAGAGTTTGACTACAAGAAGTTAAGTAAATAAAGTAATTTAAATACAATGTAATTAATTTTTATATAAATGTTATAATATTATTATATAAAAAAAGAAGTACCTAATATACATATGCTGACTCAAAACGAAATCTCTCAGAATCCCATCATTGAATCGGCACACTGGGCACTCATCAAACCTTGGGTGTTGGAGACCATGAGAGGATGAGGCTACAAAGACTGTAACACTGTGTTTATGGCCGTCATGCTACTGGTCGATGCTACTACCATCTGGGACAGCGTAGGCTGCTCTTTCTGGCAGCCTACGCTGTCCTAGATGGTAAACTGGAAAATGTAAAAAAACTGGAAATGTATGAAATATCCCAGATGGTAGGAAACTGAGTTTGATTTATTACCTCCTCAGAGCTGTTACTGTCATAATACGTAGGCTATTCAGAAGTAAGGAATGTTTCCATCTGATGTCGCTAGGCATGCTCCGATCACATATATTTTGATGTCTGCATGCTCAGCATCTCAGTTGGCATCCAGCCATCACAACGAGAACATTTCCACGTTGCCCATTTTTTTTATATTCAAATTTAAGATGTGGGCTGTAATTGAAAATCCCGTCAGTTGTGAGGTGCGGTCTGTGATACGGTTTTCGTTGGCAAAAAACCTAAAACCTATTTAATTTATCGGCAAGTGTGGAAGTGTCAGAAAAACGTAAAACAAGCAAAAAGTTCAATCTGGTGCATTCTGTTTAAAGCTGGCCGAACTTCAAAGATTCCGATGAGTTCAGCGCAAGAGACATGTGACTGACTAAACCCTAGAATTGATGAAAGATTTTCGTGAAAAAACGGAGCTTTTGATAGGTGCTTTCGCACTTGTTCTAGTTTTGCACAAGTTTCACAGACTTTGTTGTTTGAAATTGTCAGACAAAAGCTAGGTTACCACAAATTTTGTGCAAGATGGGTGCCAAATTGCTTACAGACCACCATAAAGGTCAGCGAATTGGGGGCACCTTTGACGTTTCTGGAGGCCTGTGACAGACATGGTGATTCATTACTGGATTGAATCGTAACTGGTGATGAGACGTGGGTGAGACACGTGAATTGCGAGACAAAATTACAGTCCATGCTGTGGGGTCATACAAGTTCACCCAAAAGACCAAGAAAATGTTTGCAAACCTTGTCACCAAAGAAGATTATGGCGACTGTGTTTTGGGATAGGCAAGGTGTGCTTCTGATTGATTTTCTCAAACGTAGTGCCACAATAAACTCAGCAGTACTGCCAAACTTTGCGTAACCTTAGGAGAGCAGTTTAAAACAAGTGCTGAGGAAAGTTGATGTCCAAAATTTTATTTTTGCACGACAATGCCCGACCTCACACGGCAAACCGCACTCAAGAACTCCTTAATCATTGAAATGGAGTTTTTCCTCTCGCCCTATAGTCCCGATCTTGCACTTCGTGATTTTCACTTGTTTCCAAGAATGAAGAACTGGCTAGCAACACAGTGCTTTGACGACGACAAGGAGCTGCGGGTGTGCGTCACTGAGTGGCTGAGATCGCAGGTGGCAGAATTCTATGACGAAGGAATTTCAAAGCTTGTCCACTGCTATGATAAATGCCTCAATTTGTTTGGTGACTATGTAGAAAAATAGAATTTTAGTCGCTCTTTCTGATGCATATAATATTTTTTTTTCTTATATTTAGTTTCTTTTTAATTCCCAAACATTCCTTACTTTTTGAATATCCCTCATATAATACTAAGCCAGTGTATGCAACTGAGGGGGGGGGATTTATGGGCACTATTGGAAAGAGGGGGTTGATTTGAATGCCTAGCTTAGCACCAGACCACTTATTGGCAGTATAGTAGAATTATTAATTTATATTTTATATTAGTACTAAGCAATAATTTTGTATCTTTCCCATTTTAATTAAATTACATCTAATTCTTATGTAACTTTTACAGGCAATAGGACTTGTTGAGAATCAGAGTGATTGGTACTTGGGCAAGCTATGGAAGAATCACAGACCGTGGCCAGCCTTGGTAAATTTATTTAAATTAGTTGTTAAAATTATTTCCCTCTATACAGTCAAAAGTCGTTAATTCGGACACCCATAATCCGGAATGATCTATAATCCGGACCTCAAAGCTACAAACTTTCTGCGCATGCGTCGCATTGACGCATGCGCGTAAGACCTTTACCGCTGCGAATTTGCATGTGTGCGTGCACAAAATACGTTTACGAATGCACGTTTAATGTATAATGGACGAGATAAGCTAAGCTAAAATTATCTAATTATCTATTTCAGTTAATGTTGCAGATTGCGTTGTTCCTTAATCTTCGAATTGGATCCGGATTATTATTTTTTGCAGACTGTTAGAGCAATTTTATAAAAGTAAGCTTGAACTTTCGATTATGTCAAATAGAATTTCCGATATATATTTACTAATATGTAAAGGATATACAAAGCGAAAGTATCTTTCGGAGTCCATTAAACAAAAGGTGGAATTGCTGCAAAAAATGGATAAAGGCATATCCTTTGTTTATCTAAACTTTAACGTTTGTTTATCTAAACTTTAACGTTTGTTTATCTAAACTTTGTTTATCTTTAACGCGGTGGCAGCGTGCATTGAATTGGAAGTTGATCTGTCAGCACTATCCTTATCTTAAGGGCAGATGTTTTTATTTCATTTGGCTTATAATTGCTTACTCAATGTAGTATTTCATCTTGTCTTTGATATGATTTAAATCAAATGCCTGGTCATTATAATCCGCTGTCATTATAATTCGCTTCGGATAGCGAAGAAAGTAACAGAGGTTATTGAAAACGAAAAAATTTCGATTGACAAATTAGTTGACAAATTAGTCGGTATTCTCGACACAGCAATTATAGGACTTGAACAGTGGAACTTTGTAACTGAACAAGAAATTATGTCTGTTTATAGAATTAAAGAGAATGTATTATAACATAAAAAACGAAGCAACTTAAACAACTTACATTGAAAGAAATGTTTAATAAAGTAAACAAATAAATAATAAGCTTTTTTTTTTTTGTAATTTTGATACCCTTTAGATCATAATTGTTCTTTATTTCGTAAATTACGGTTTCATATTTTTAATTTTATAATTTCTGCATGCCATTTTACCAGATTTAAACTGATGATCTATAATCCGGAAAAATCGATAATCCGGAATCGCCGAAGTCCCGACGAGTCCGGATTAACGACTTTTGACTGTATTAATAGATTTATTATATTATGTAATTAAGTACTGGATTTAAAAGTTTATATCTAAATTTGAAGTAAAATTACTTCTGTGCTTATGAATGATTTATTCTTATATATTTTTAAATACCGAGTTCGTAAAAAATGCAAAGTTCAGAATAGTACTTCAGATTTGTGCATTTATGTGTGCTGAACAAATTTCTGTGATAAAATTTATCATCAGAGTCTGCATGTTATACCTTTTCTGAGCATTTTCTGTTCCTTCCTTTTTTCTTCCTCTTTCCTGTCATGTTACATTTTTATGTAAGTAAGTGACATTTTAGTAGAAGTAAGTTGCCAGATATCAACTTGTTCTTTTCTTATTCAGTTAGTACTGCTATGTACTTTTGTGAAGCCCTGCTCAGCAAATGAATCTAGCATGTTAAAGCTTCCATGTTTAAGACTGCTTAAAAGCACATTTTGGTTTCAAGCATTTTTCGTTCTCTAACTCCCCAATATATATATGTATATATTGATGATCTATATGGATTGACTAGTTAAGAACTGCCTGTCCTCCCACTGTTAGGAAGATGGAAATTTAAAAAAAAAATTAAAGGGCTTTCTAACTAACTATTATAGTGAAGTGATCAGCATATTGTTATGGTAATCTGGAGAATGGTTTCATTTCCCAGCAAGAACTTAATGGATTTTTCTGGTAATTCCTCCTTCAAAACTCCTGTTTAATTTAGTAACTAATGTATTTGCAACTAAATCACAATTTTAGCTTATGTTTAGCCATATAGATATGCTATGAAGTTGACCATGTTTTCAGTTTTATTTAGGTTAGGTTAGAGTAGGTGTGTGTTAGATCTCAAATGTATCATGCTATACTGAAGTGACTATTTAGAAATTTTACTGTTTGGAATGTAATTCTTTTACTGAACTGAGTATCTTAAAATATTGTTTGCAGATGTATATGACAATATAATAGTTCACAGGAAATTTTTCAAAACCTTTTTTTTTTTCTTTACTTTTTTAAATCTAATGTTGGATTTTTTACATATGTCCTTGTTTAATGATCAAACTAATAATTGCCAAAATTCAGCTTTTGCCCCATCAGATAGATAGCTTGGAAACTAATCTTTCAAATGGAATTTATTCAGAACCTCTAGTTTAAATTATTGATTTTTGATAATTTTTCCAAAAAATGATTGATTGGTTTCTTACAATTGTTAGCAGTAATTTGGATGCTGCTGCTGATGCTGAATTTTTAATCAAAATTTATTGATGTTTGATTGAATGAAGTGTAATCTTATTGTTTAGATTGAAAGATCGTGATAGATCTTCACACACTTTGTTGCCAAACTGATTATATAAAACAATGTTCCCAAAGATGATTTTCTTTCTTTAGTTTACTCCTTCTGTAAATTAAAAATGTAAAATAAAATATATAAAAAAAACTTATGCTGTTTTGGTTGAATGCATTATAAATTATTTTCTCAGTTATCACAGTATGTTTGGCCAAATGGGTTTAAAAATAAAACTATAGGTTAACCTTCTGAGGCCGGGGCTTTGGCAGCAGTAAAAGTTACTAAAGGATGGGGAATCTTGAACCAAATGCTTTCCCCCCTTTCAGAAATCACCTCCTATTTGCAACAAAGATTCTTGTGTGTAGTTTAATGGATTCTCAGAGGGGTGCATCTATGTCGCAAAAGGAAGACCTTTGAAAGAGATAAGTGATTAAAACCCTAGGGATGTCAAATTTGACATTTCACCCCACTTTTCAGCCTGGAAAATGGGGGAAAAAGACATGGCCACTAAAGTGGACAACCCCATCTTTTCAAACAGGGGACTCTATGGCCACTATAATGGCCATCCCGTCTTCAAAAGGTTAAGCATTAAAGTTGCTGAACACAGGTAGTTTGTTCTGGGGTTCAAATCCTGCCCAACAGGCTGGCTGCATTGGCATTTTCATGGTTTTCCCCATGCATAACCTGTATTTGAGCCAGTGTCCCTTTGAAAATCCTCCATAAAGGCATCTGTCCTCTAAGATTGATAGCCACTGGGTGCTTTGCTATAATTAAATACAATAGTAGGGTATATTTGTAAAAGAAAAGTGTAGGACATTAAGATTATTTTAAGGAGTATTAGAAGTAATAGAAATGACACATATATGAATGATTAAATTCATCTTAACTTCTGATTGACAGTTCTAATTTAAAATTTGTTAGTATTGGCAGCCTCATTATTTTATTTTTAGCTACACTGACCTAGCATATTATGATATTTAATTTCTTCCCTTTTACTTTTAGTGCAGTTAACTTAAAAACTTGTAACATGTAATTTAAAGAAGCTTTTTTTCTTTTATTCTGATCAGTCAAACAAAAATAATAGGAGTCTAACATAACATTGTAAATACTGGTATAAAGAAGTTCTGATTATCTTGTAGTGAAAAGTTCTTGTTTGATAAACTCGCTATGGAAAATTAAGTGATTTTTATATCTTTTAACCTATTCATTGCTCAGGGCAGGGGTTTTAATACTGGTGTCATCCTCCTGCATTTAAAAAAATTGCGGGAGCTTTCTTGGATGCAGATGTGGAGACTAATTGCTGAAAAAGAGCTACTCAGTATGCTTTCTACGTCATTAGCAGATCAAGTAAGATTATTTTTATTCTGTCTGCGTAAAATATTTTTTTATGGAATGATATAATAAAAATTTGTAGATATAATTTTTTGAATGTTGTAAAATTATGTAATTGCTGATATTTGTTTTGCATATATGTGATAATTGTTAATTCATCCTGTAACTTAGAATTTCCTTCGTCACTTCATCAGTAGCAGAAGTTGTTACTATGTTAAAAGGCTAAAAAAGACATAATTAGTAATTATATTAAAAATTAGTTTGAGTTATAATTTTATTGCAATGTGAATTCTGCAATTATTTTATACATTAAGGGGTTTTCCAGTATTTCATGAAAAGAAATTTTTTTGCAAATGTAGCTGCAGTTTCAGAATTTAACATACAAGGTCCAGCTATTGATTTCCAGGACTCGTGGAATAACTCAGAAGAAAAAAAAGTTAAACACATAGCCATTTAATATGATTCAAAGTAATCCCCATCAGCCGTAATGCATGTCTGTGCTCAGCTGTACAAATTTTGGAAAGAAGTTTTAAAGTTATCTTTTGGAATGCTCTTTAATAATGATGTTACAGTTTTCTTGATGGCTTCGACATCCTGAGATCTTGTTCCCTTCAGCGAATTTTTCAGCTTAGGAAACAGGAAAAAGTCTGCGGATGCTAGGTCTGGAGAGTATGGTGGATGCTGCATTTCAACGACACCATGCTGGGCTAAGGCTAAGAATTGCCTCACAGGCAACGCAATGTGTGGGCGGTCATTGTCTTGTAGCAGCAGACAACTCCCATTTTGTTGAAAATGAGACCTTTCTTTAAGAATTCGTTTTCGAAGTCGGTCAAGAACTTCTGTGTAGAACTGTCCATTGATAGTCATGTTAGGAGGAAGAAATTCATGATGAATGAATCCATTGCAATCGAAGAAAGCGATTAACATGACCTTGATTTTGGACTTTTAAAATCGAAATTTTTTCTGCCTTGGTGAACTTGGAGGCTGCCATTCGGAGCTTTGACTCTTGGTTTCAGGGTCATATTGATAGCACCAAGACTAGTCTCCCATGACCATCCTATCCAGGAACACAGGGTCAGCATCAGCGTTGTCGATAAGTTCTCCATATGTGTCCAGTCTCAATTGCTTTTGTTCGTCCCTTAAATGGTGAGGAACGTATCTGGAACAAATCTTGCATTTGCCTAGGTCTTGCGTCAAAATTCGCTGAACCGTCTCTTTGCCCATGTTGAATTCATTAGCGAGTACTCGAATAGTTAATCGATGATCACATTTCACCATATCGCGAACTTCAATATGCAATTATTAGCGCCATCTTCTGACTTTTCGTTCTCCTACAGTTATGTCAGTCCTGGAAATTAATAGCCGGACCTTGTATATCTACTATTTCAGAATTTCCTGTCCATTATTTCCAATTTCTGTTTTGATTGTTAGCTTATTTTCTGTAGCTAAATTACTTTTAATATTACCTTCCAGGCAATTTATTGAAGTTATATAAATTTATCCTTTTTTTATCTTTTAGTGCTGATAGATATTTTCAGTGCCAAATAATATTTTTCTAACTTTAAAAGTTTTCTACATTATGAAGAAAATCTGTGCATGTGCAACTTAATGTAGCCAGTAATCACTGGCTTAAATGGAAATCTTGATTTGATATGAGTTACAACATCAGAATTTGACTAAAAAATACAGAATGCAATATTTGCTTACTTCTATGCTTGTTATTTTTATTATTGTTGGATACCTAACAGAATATGTTTTTTTCTTTTTTGTGTGAGGTGATGGGGAATGTTAGTGCAGTTCTATGGTAGCTGCAAAATGTTTTGCAAAATAAGTATAAATCCCAGGCTGTTAAATTTTTTATTTATAATGTGACCACCCTATCTGTCTGCTTGTGGAAACCACTGTGGTTTCTTCTCTCCATTGACACTGAGATGGGAAAGTTGTTACCAATGAACAAGAGATAATGTTGAATGCAATGGTACTTAGGCCAGTGAAAAGTGAGGTTGGAAAAAAGAAAAAGGTTGTCCTGTAGATGGTGGAAAAGGAAAGTGAGGAAACTTCACGAGGGCAGCCAAATGATTGGAAGATGGAATTTGGCGTTCATCTACTGTATGCATACATACCTGGATAGTCACAGAAATACGTTTCGGTAACATCGTGGATTACCTATTTTGGTGGCATAACATAGCATACTGCTGTATAAATACTTTTCAGGGAATGCAGATAATCAAAAAGTACGATTTTATATATAGTAAGATAATAATATGTCAAATTATTAATTTTAATAAAAAATGTTTGTAGTGTCTTTTTGGATTTATACTCACATTAAAATTATTCAAATAAACAATTTCCGACTTTTTTTTTTTTTTTTTTTTTTTTTTTTTTTCAGGATATTTTTAATGCTGTTTTGAAACAGCACCCCTACCTCATTTATAAACTTCCTTGTCAGTGGAATGTTCAGCTGAGTGATAATACTCTTAGTGAAGTGAGTAGATTTGGTTTTTAACTTTGAAAAAGAATTTGAATTCGAATTGATGTAATTGTTATTCAATCTTTACAAATTTATTATGCATATATAATTTAGTCATGTATTTTAATTTGTATCATCCTGTAGTAAGTTCTTATTTAGATTCTAAGTATCTGAAGTGAATTCTCCTGCTAAATTTATATTGCTTTATCTTTAAATTGTATAATTGATGCCTCAATTTTTCTTCTAGATTTGTTATACTGAAGTCCAGGATTTAAAAGTATGTATTTTTCTCATTCTAAAAATTAATGAGTGCAAATTAAAATGTATATGTGTGGATAATTTTTTTAACTTGCACATATTTGTAACTAGATTTTTTAAAGCTGCAAAATAATAAATAATTAATTTCTTCCCTGAAAAATTAAAAAATTATTTTGCATACATAGAAGCATCTTATTTATTTGAACTTTTTTTAAGAATAAAATAAGATGGTTAAGAGAGAATTTCAATTATCTGGCCACTAATTTCCCAAATTCTTTTTGTTTGAATCCATTTTTGATTCCTTCTGTTCCAAATAAAATTTAGCTTACTATATAAGTCATAAATTTTAAATTTATTCATTGATTTAAATAACTTAAAATTGTCATACAAGTAGAGGTGCCTCTACTAAAGTTCCACCATATGCACTTGCACTAAGCGAAATTTTTTTGAGGTAATGAAATTGGCAAGAAGGCAATAAAGTGTGCTTTTCTACAAGCCACAAAATTTAATTTAGATGAGTATGTAATATATGTATGATATCAGATATATAATTGAATAGAAACTGATTCTGCATTCAGTTTTTTCTAAATAATAAAAAAATATGTATTTGTTAAATTGAAGTAAAATTAAATTTATGAGTTTATTTACAGGCATTTAGCCCCCCCACACTGATTTATGTATTATAAAATGTAGTATAAATACCTTGCTGATTATTAGTCAGTGGTACAATCTATTCCATGCAAATGAAAATTATTTTCTTGTGTAAATCCTTTGTGTGAGTTAAATGAAAAAAAAAGGGGGGGAAGAAGATTATGTTTTGTGATGCATATAAATATTTAAAAAAATTTGTTACTTTATTTATTTGAAATAAAAATCATTATTATATTCAAGTGAAAAAAAGTCATTGCTCAATTTTATAAGTAAAGATGTAACTAGCTGTAAAATGAAACAAAATCTCAGGTAATCAAACTAGCTGCAATTCCTGTTTGTCCAGATATCTGGAGACTTAAAAAATTAAATAAAATTTTATATAATGAATTAAAAAATTATGATTGATATAGATTTCAGTTTGTATATGCATTTTTAGGTACTTTAAAAAATAAAAATTCTACAGTTCTAATGTTTGCTTCAAATAAAATGTTTAATCTTATGCTTACATATGTTTTTTTCTTGTTTATTTATAGGTAATTCATTGGAATTCACCTAAGAAACTAAAAGTAAAAAATAAACACGTTGAGTTTTTTAGAAATTTATATTTAACATTTTTGGAATATGATGGTAATTTATTACGGAGGGAGTTAATTGGCTGCAATAATAGTAAAGTAACACATGTTCAAGAAGCTGTAAGTATGCATCTTTCCTTCGTTATTTTCTTGCTGTATTTTACGTTAAAAAATAATAATAAAAGAAAGAAAAGAAAAAGAAATCTAAACTAACAGTAATGCATTTTAATTTTTTAACGCATGTGATATTGTCTTAATGTAAATTCATATTACAGAACAATTTAGAGTTTTTTTTTTTTTTTGTGCACTTAATAAGCAGTTCTTAGTGTACTTAGTGTACTGAAATAAATACATCAGCAGTTGAAAATTTTGGATGCATAGAGTTGATAGTGTAGAAACTCTGGTTTCTGGCCATAACTCATGCACATTCTTAGAAATGAATTTTTCTCTCGATACTTTATTTTTTGCTTTTAAATGAACAATGAATAACTGAAAATAACACAGTAACTGAAGTACTGTAAATATTGAATTGGATTGCTTGCCATAGATTCATGCTCAGGTTATTGATTTCTGCAACTTTTATATCTGAAAATTACCCAAAATTTTAGTCACTTATCTTTCCTTTATAACATGTTTTTAAAATAAATATATTTCTCCTAGCTACTGGCTCCCATGGTGTAATAGTTTTAATGACCAGCAATGTACACTGCTGTAGTCATTAAAATGGAAAATATTTTAGAGATTATTAATATCCTTGGGTGTTTAAAACAGAACTTTTTTTTAAAAAAATGTTTAATAGTAGGTGAAATATATGAAAATACGCAATAGATTAAACATTTCTTGAAGTTTCTGCACAGATTTATCATAGAAAATTAACTTTAGCATTATAATTTAGGTTAGTAAGAAATAATATTCATATAATAATTTGTTTTATACTTTAAAATTGTAAAGAAATATTTATTTCTGAAAAGAAATTAACATTTTTCTATCACAAATTTCTGAAAATGTTTTATACTAAAAATTATTTTGGCTAATATTTTTTCAACTTAATTATTAAACAGAATGAAATATGATAGTGCTTCGAGTGTAAGACATTGCCATATTTCAAGCAATTCATATTTTTGTTCTCATCATTATTTCAATGTTGTTATCTGTAGTTACCTTTCTATCATTACTTTCATTTTCAATGAGTGTAGACCATAGATTCTAGACCAGTAATTTTATTTTGATACTGCACTGTGCTTTATGCCACTGGCTAATGCTTTAAGTTATTTGCTTATTGCAGAACTAAACACGAATTGCCAAAATAGCAACACTAATGTTTTCTGGGTATGAGGGGGTGTGATTGCTGCTAGTCGTTTTGTTGAGAAAGGTAATACATAGTATTATTTTGACATCTAGTGTTGTGTATCTCTTCGTTTCCATCAGTTGCAGTCACAATTAATGATGCAGAAGTGATAAAAAAGAGGAAAAAGCTAACACTGTTTTGAAATCCAGTGTCTCACGAGTACCTTTTTCCACCATCTGTCTGCTATTATTAGTGACTATGACTGGTCAGAAACGAATTATTATGCTGGCTTCAGGACTGGTCAAGATTAGCTTGACAGGCTAATAATTCATAAGCAGGGTCATAATACAACTACTGTGGCAAAATTTATAAAGGAGAGGCCATGAGATGCAGATTTATGAGCCACAGGAGATTACACTTGGTAGTAAAAAGCATATTGCTGCCCTTTACCATAAGAATGGTGCAGTTAGCATACGTAGAGTCCAGTACAGCAGTAAAATTATCTGTGTTGTATTATCATTGACAGAACTATGATGAAATAATAATTAACACATAATTATTTCATAACCAGCATATACAGAATACATTAATCATTTCTATCCAGCATATGCATTATGCATCATACCCAATCTATGAATATGATACGTTGAAAGAAGGTTAAAAGTACTATAACCTTGAAGTAGTATTGGGAAAATATATTTCTTTTCATGTTAATGCATTAATAATAATATACCGTAATTTCCGGAAGAAACGCCGCGGCGTTTACGTGTTTAAAACTTAAATTTTCAGCGGGTGCGGCGTTTCTACCCGTGCGGCATTTAGGTGCACTAAAAATAAAATATTTCCTATCATGGTCATTGTACATAGTTTGGATGGCCTTGTCATTGTGCATAGATTGGTGCTGTTCCCACACAAAAGACCACTCAGTTGCTTTTTGCGAACGTTATTTTGTTTACGTTCTTTCCCTTGAACGGACCTACATGCCTTATTCACCCTAAACGAGATTCAGAACAATAACATTCTTCCCCCTTTCAAATCAACATTCTCATCAGTTTGAATAGTCTCTCTCCTCGCCATTCGATGAATCTTCCAGGACCGATCCTCTTTCCACCCTGCCTTTTCTGCAATTTTTTTTCAAAGGCGACACGACTCCACCTGCCTCACAATAACGAACTCTGACGTATTTCCCCTTCAGCATGAATGGATTTTTCTTGGCATTCTGCCAAATACAGATCCTATCAATTAGGGTACAAAGTACTTGTTGGATAGTTTTTAATTAGGAGCAGAAAATTTTGAAAATGTCTCTAAACGGCACAGAAGCTATACATTTCTTACCTTTAATTTATTTTTGAGTTATGGTTTCATTTCATGCATTTTCTTAACTGGTATGTCATATATCAGGACTTAGGCTGAGTTTTTGCATCTATACGGCCCACGACGATGTCACGCGCAATTTAATCTATTGCGGCGTTTCTGTGTAATTTTAATTTTTTTCCCGCCATTTTTCTCGAGTGCAGCGTTTACGCTGATGCGGCCTTTCTTCCGGAAATTACGGTATATATATAAAGACTGTTAAGTTTTCATAAAAGGTTTTAGATACTAACATTCATTCCAATATATTAAACGCATTGAAGAAATTAAGTTATTGCCGTGGAATATAACAGAAACTTACAAAGCTGTGAATTTATATTATAGTGTCTCAGGGGTACACAAATATGAGCTCCTATTTGAGCTTGTATCATATGTTTTAATCTTTAAAAGCTAAAGATGCAGTTAAGGTAATTAACATACTTTGAATGTTAACAAAAATTAATTACATTAATGTTATTTCATAAAAGAGTATTTTATGTTAAAAAAAAAAAAAAAAAAAGACCAAATTTGTATGTATATGCAAAAGTGCAGTCTTTCGTTGCTAAAGCTGAGTCAAATATGGTACATGAAATTACCCCAATAAAATTGTAAAATCGATCAGAAACAAAACCACTAAAATCAAATGGAAGAAAATGTATGGCATGGAGGTTTTAATTAAAGCTTAAATAATTACACACACACACACACCAAAAAAAGGGGGGCATGCTAAAATCCTGAATCCAGTTAGAAAGCTTGAAAAGCAGGAACTTAACCCTATGGCTGCTCGTCCCGCGGTTTCCACAAGCAACTTAAATGTAGCAAAATCTGCTCATCCCGCGATTTCCGCGGGCATGTGTTTTTCTTCCTTTATTGAGGAGCACATCCCGTTTTTTTTCCCATTTAACCACTGAAATCAATTATATACAGTATTAGACGTTTAGTTTACGTTTTGGCCGACAGATATCGTTAATTGTCCATTAAATTGCAGCATTTGAAGGCATGTGGTATTACCGCTCAAACTCCACCTTTTGTGCTTTTTTCTTACTGAAATGGCTGCTAGAAAACATTCAGCAATTATCTTGAATTATTTAATTAATTATTGAATTTAAAGATTATTGATTAGATTAAAAATTAGATTGATCATTAACTTAGATTTATTGAATCTGATGCAAAGACCGTGAAGTTGGACTTTGTCCCTTGAACCCTGTTTTGAACTCTATCATACTAAACTGCATTTCTACGGTAGTTTTTTCCTCAGTGCTTTATATTTTCTTAAATTTTATACATTTTACTTTTTTATATTATGCAATAAATATAAATTAACTGTAATTCGACTGAAATTTATTTAGAAAAATTTTTTTGGGGGGTGATAACATCTGAAATTGGTTTTTCTGGCAACTTAGTTTCTCATGATAAAAATCTGTATAAAAAATATTTTCTAGAAAGGAAAAATGCATTTTTCAATTCTTCAATATGTATAAATTTAAAATATGGAAAAAAAAAAAAAAAAAAACTTTTTGAAGTGATTTTTGTCCACAAATTGAGCAGTCAGAGGGTTAATGGTTCCCACTGAAGATTTCTGATATTTACTTATACTGCACACTGCATTTAGGAATGTAAAATAAAGAAGACTGAATCTCTTATCAATTTTTATATTGTCACGTTTCGAGACGGGGAGGAGCTAGAGTAAATCAAATAGATGGACTTGTAATGCCATCTTTCCTGTTTTGTGCAAAAAATTCTAATCAATCAAAACTTCAATTACAAAAGACAGATTTTACATAACATGTACTAATTAAGTGTTCTATCTATACTAACAAAAATGGAATGAAATGATTAAATTACTTCATAAATTTAACTACCATTATTAAAGATATTTATTCAATTTCATCATTTCATTCATTCATTTCAGTAAGAAAAAAAAAAAAATATGTTACAAAATCACTGAAGTTCAAATTCTGTCTGAAATCAGAGTTTGAGAGGATGTATGTGTTGAGCACCACATGTTAAAGCCCCAACAAGTTTCTAGTTCGGATGATCAAACCTTATCATCACATCCAGAAATGCCTTTTATGATTCTATCAAGTTTTTATAACAGTTTGTTTCTGTTGTCCCCTTCAACCAAAATAATTGTGACTTTCAGTTCTGGTTGAAATTTTGGATTGTTCAAGGAGTGAACAGTTCTTAGATGTAATACATAGTGCTGGTTCCACTTACCCACAGCTGTTTCAACAGCAGTTCTTGAAAACATTTTTCTCTTCGAGAGTGTTTCTCTTGTTATTGATGATTCTTGGGCCCACCAGCAGCCGAGCGATAAAGTCGCTGAACACTGGTAGTTCAGTCCAAGGTTCGAATCCCGCAAACGGGTTGACTGCATGAGCGTTTTCGTGGTTTTCCCCATGTGTAACGTGTACGAGCCAGTTTCCCTTAGAAAGCCCTCCACGAAGGCATTTCTCCTCTTAGGCAGATAGCCCTCAAGGCTTTGCCATAATCACACATACATATTTGATGATTCTTGCGAAAGTCAGAAAATACTTTGAATCAGTTAGTTCAGTGTTTTCAAAATGCATTGGAGTTATGGTTTGCGCCTCATCATTTTCTTTATAAATGTGGCTTAGAGGGTTTGAGTTAAGAACTGGCTGTACCTTGACAAGCAGCATAGATATTTCTTCAAAGGTCAACAATGCTTTCCTTATAATTTTTTCAAACACTCTGACAAGTCTCTCTTAAAACTCTCCCCACCATGGAATTCGCTTGATTATAAACTTCTGCGGGGTATTTGTCTTTGTCTTAAATTTGTCATATTCTGAAAATCTGGAAAAATTAAGTTTTGACATTTTCGGAGTAGAAATTCTACAGTTTCCTCTTCTGCTAAAAATTCTAGGAAATAGGAGTAAAAAGGACTCTGTTCACCTATGTAACATAAGTTTTAAGTGTACAGCTCAAGTTACTGCACAGTTGAATAAAACAATAAGGTTTTTTTAAGTGTGTTTAGAGTTTTTTATGTAGATTGGTCTGGCAAAATAAATTCCATAAATTTCAAATGATTCATGGATTCTGTCTTTAGGTAAAGGTGCCTTTATGTGGTCTGCTGGCATGGCAGATCTGTCTGTATTTCTGGAAGATCAAGCAATTTTTTCATCTTTTTAAACATAACTACCATCTTTTAGGAACTCAGAAACGAGATCTAACTTTGGCTATAGTTGCAGCAGTTCCTCCATGCATTATCTTCTCATGTTATCATATATATGTTATTTGCATACAATTAGCATCATCAGTTAGGCCCACCAGCGGCCGAGCGGTAAAGTCGCTGAACACTGGTTGTTCGGTCCGAGGTGCGAATCCATGAACGGGCTGGCTGCATGGGTGTTTTCGTGGTTTTCCCCATGTGTAACGTGTATACGAGCCAGTTTCCCTTAGAAAGTCCTCCACAAAGGCATCCCTCCCCTTAGGCAGATAGCCGTAGAGGCTTTGCCGTAATTAAATACACACACACACAGCATCATCAGTTTGGAATTTTGGGATATGATAAATGGATTCTTATTTTTTAGTGAGAAGTCCAAAAATCCTGATCATCTTCTCAATCTCAAGATTCCTATTTTTATTAATGTATGGGAGAAAATTGTACAAAGAGAATTTTTTTTCATTTGAATTGCATTTTTTTAGAGATTTACCCTCTGAATAAAAAACCATATTGCAAAATTGATCAGAAACAAAACTGCTAAAAGTAAATGAATGAAAGTACTTGGCATGGAATGTTTTTCATCTTTTAATTAAAGCTTAAGTAGTTTTATATACACACACATATATGCAAGATAGGCTAAAAGGCCTAAATTCAATTACAAAGCATAAAAAGCAGGAACTTAATTGTCCCATTAAGTATTTCTAAAAGACAGTTAGTTATACTGCATATTGGAGTTTAGATGCTAAAACAAAGAAGCCTGAATTACTTATCAATTTTTATATTGTCACGTGTCCATGTGGGGAGAAGCTAAGTAAATTGAATAGATGGGCCTTTATTTAATTTGGGCCATTCAAGCCATCTTTTGGGAATATTAAGAACTTTTTCTCGATGGTAGCAGTATAGTTTAGAAAGTAGAACTATAGTTCAGAGGAACTCAAAATATTTGAATTATTACTAATGAAAAGTTGCACATGGTTGTTTAATAGGCTGACCTTGAATTTGAATTGTATATTGCTGACCCTTGAATTATTTGAGTTGCATAGTTTAGCTTGTACTATATGGATTTTTTTTTTTCAGTAAAAAATTCTGGAAAAAATGAGAAAAAATTAAAAATCAGTGGTTTGAAAAACACTGGTGGACAAACTATGTAGTTATAAAACTCAAAAAAGTTACATGAATCATAAGCATATATATGTGGTCTTTAGTCTACTTTGTTATTTATTAGTATGAAGTAAGCATAAATTTGTTCCAAAATATTAAAACTCGCCATTTTGTATTAAATAAATACTTGGAGATTCCACTTTTTGCTACTGTGGTGAGTAAAACAACCCTCTCCCCCCCAAAAAAATTAGTATCACATATTGTGCTATGAAATTTTTTTTCAACCATCTGCTTTTGTTAATAATGGGATGAATTCAGATGTTGTAAGTATGCGCTTAAAGTATACTATATGACACTAATCATCTCCAGTTGAATGAGGCCCTGCTACCGCTTAATAAATATAAGAAATAAATTTTCAGATTTAAACGATAGCATAATTTGTGTATATTCAGTACTATACAATGAAAAATCTGCCTAAACCTTTGAAATCAATGTAGTATTTCATATGTAAAAGTTAAATGGCACAGTTTATGAGCTTGCTCACATACAAAAATAAATTAAAAAGTAGAAAAACATAGCAAATGATAAAGATAACTGTTCTCTGCAGAAGATATTTTCCATTTTCTTTTTTTCATGGAGAAGAAAAGTAAATTGCATCAAAATAGAGCTGTTTTAATTAAGGAAGATAGTGGTAATTGGAATTATCTTAACTTTTATTGCAACAAACAAACTTGAGTAACAAAAACAGAAATGGATTATTTATAACAATAAAGCTCTATAGCTGGGCAGACAATAATGGTTCGATATAATTTGCAAAAGGAAGGCTTAGATTAAAAGTAATGTAAAACAGATGTTAAATATGCAAGTATTTTTAGGTCTTTTATGTTCTTATTTTCTTTATGTATTCTCCTTGTTTTGCTCTGTAGAAAAGTCTAAAAGAAGTTAATGTTTTTTTGCATGTTTTCTTGAATTCAGTCTTAATAAAGTTATTTTTCTTTTATGACCTGAAATATATATATATATATTATGCAAATTATGGATCCTTTACTATTAATGTACTTACGTGGACAAATAAAAATGTTGATATAATTAATGCAGTTTTCTCAAGTGATTTTTCTAATTCTCCACATTTTAATAGCTGAATGCCATAGATGAAGATGATTCATGTTATGAGTTCAGAAGAGCTCGAGTTGTCAAGCATCGCACACATTTGTATTACATCGAATATGATTATGAACCCGTAAGTTAAATTTTTAATATCTTTATGCACTATTTTCATTATTTCTTTCTGAAGTAGATGCATTGTACATTTTATAGCATTTTGAGTTATTTTTAGGAAATTTTCGGTTTCCTATATATATATAAATTATTTTTTTTTTTTTTTTTTTTTTTTTTTTTTTTTTTTTTTTTTTTGTATTTTCCCCTCCCTCAAAAAAAAAAAAAAAGAAAGAAAGAAAGAAAAAGAAAAAGAAAAAAAATTAAGAAAACATACTATCTTTGTATTTAATTTTCTTTTCTTGTTGTGTAGACTCCTGATGGGAATGATGTGACTTTAGTTGCTCAGTTATCTATGGACCGACTACAGATGGTTGAAGCACTTTGTAAACACTGGGAAGGTTAGCTGTTTTGTTTATGTATTTCCCTTTAAAAGTCTACTTTTTTCACTTTTTTTATATTGTAGTATTGTTACATAACATTGCAGTTAGCCCCAAAAATGATTTTTTTTAGTTATTTTACCTTAAATATGGTACAATTACCAATTTTTACTCAAAAGCAATAATATGTTTATTACCTTCTGATTGATGTGAAGGTCTCACACCATAAGTGATGTAATTTTCTTTTTTATGGATATGTATATGTGTTCATGTGGGTGTGTTTAAGTGATAAATTTTATTGCTGTATTGTAAATTCTTAGTTCTGTAAGTGATAAATTTTAATTTATGAATTTTGCCTGCTGATGGCATCTCTATGCATTGTCTGGATTTATCTATGATTATATGATGCTTAATGATGTGTAACAAAAAGGGCTTACTGATGTCTAGCAGTTATGGCAGAGTGCTAGCTGATATAAATTGAAATTGCAACACTATGTGCCAGAAAATTTTAAAAGTTTTAGGCCAAATAATAAGTTTGATTGATAGACATTTGAAAATTCAAGTGAGATTATACTGAACAAAAATGTTTTATACATTTAAGTGCATTAATACTTGTGAAAGAATCTGGAAAAAGAAACTGTTGTCATTTTACTTGTGGGAAATATTTGTTTCAAGTCTCACATAAGCAATCCAGTTAGAAAGTGCAGAACTGCATTTTGAATACCACCCTTCTTTTTTTAAAGCAAAATTTCTATGTGGCACTAATTTGTGATGGAATACTAAGTGTTTTCGTATTGTTAGCACTGCTAATTTGAATGACTAACTTTAAATGTATGATCTTAGGTTCAATAATTTTAATAAGTAGAAAAATTTGAATTTTTGGGAATTAATTATTAAACTAGTAGGGCTGTAGTAATTGTTTGAAACTGTTTTAGGTGTTAAATTAAAATCTGAATGTAGAGACTGACTGCAGTTTCTTTAGAATTTTCATGAAATGGTTTGGATTATTTGAATTATGGCAAAGCATGTAATGGCTATCTGCCTAAGGGGAGGATTGCTTACATGGAGGCTTTTAAAATGATATTTTTGTTTTTTAATTTGAAAAAAAAAATTGCAAATTTCTTAACATTCTTAATGGTAGGCTGTTTTTTTTTTTTTTTTTTTTTTTTTAGTCTGTATTTTAAAGATTTTTGATTGCAGTTTCCCCTCCGCATCTTTGTATAATCTATACTTTAAAAGTTGACAAATTTGTTTTATTCACCTTTCACAAGGTTAATGCCTGATGAAGAAGCTGATGAATAGGTTTTTGCTTAGTCGTTTGAAGCTAAATATGAAATAATAAAGTACAAAGTCTGATATCCAGACTCATTGGGACTTCTTCTGTTCCATCTGAATTTTAAATCATCAGTTCAATATCTAGTCAGATGGCATTTAGAAATAAAAAAATAGTTGTCAATAATGTAATGAAACATTTATGATCTTAAAACAATCAAAATTAACAACAACAACAAAAAAGAAACTAAATGTTTATTTGTTTGCTTTATTAAACATTTTCAATGTAAGTTGGTTAAGTTGATTTCTTATGCTAATATTTTCTTTTCAGTTTACTTTACAAACGTACTTCCTTGTTCAGATACAAAGTTCAAGTCATATACAGTCAAAAGTCCTTAATCCGGACTCGTCGGGACTTCGGCGATTCCGGATTATAGATCATCAGTTTAAATCTGGTAAGATGGCATGCAGAAATTATAAAATTAAAAATATGAAACCTAAATTTATGAAATAGAGAACAATTATGATCTAAAGGGTATCAAAAAAAAAAAAAAAAAAAAAAAAAAAAAGCTTAATATTTATTTGTTTACTTTATTAAACATTTCTTTCAATGCGCGCATGCGTAAAGCATACATTACGCATAGTCGAAATTAGAAAATTGCAACCAGAAAACTATTTGATGTGTATTCGTGATATTTATAATGACGAGGAATTTGATTTAAATCATATCAAAGACAGAGTACATCGAGATGAAATACTACATTTAGTAAGGAATTATAAGCCGAATAAAATAAAAACATCTGCCCTGAAGATAAGGATAGTGCTGACAGATCAACTTCCAGTTCATTGCGTGCCGCGACACTCCCCTCCCCCGCAGAGCAGCGTGAAATTGATAAACAGATTTCGGAATGGTTAGAGAAACAAAGGATATGCCTTTATCCATTTTTTGCAGCAATTCCACTTGTTGTTTGATGGACATCGAAACATGCTTTCGCTTTGTAGATCCTTTGGAAGTATCCAGCATCGGAAATTCTATATGACATAATCAAAAGTTCAAGCTTACTTTTATAAAATTGCCCTAACAGTCTGCAAAAAATAATAAGCCGGATCCAATTCAAAGATTAAGGAACAACGCAATCTGCAACATTAACTGAAATAGCTAATTAGATAATTTTAGCTTAGCTTATACCGTCCGTTATACATTAAACGCGCATGCGTAAACATATTATGCACATGCGTACACGCATATGCACATGCGTAAATGTATTACGCGCATGCGTAAACGCATATGCGCATGCATGAACGCATTATGTGTTTTCGCATGTGCAGAAAGTTTATAGCTTTGAGTTTGGATTTATGGGTGTCCGGATTAACGACTTTTGACTGTAATTACCATATTCAGAATTCTCATTAAATTGTCAATATAAATTTTTTCATTCTCAGCAATCTCTGTGTCACTTTCTTCACTAGTGATAGTGAAATTTTCTGGATTTGGAACCATACTATGGATTTTGCCATCTCTTAGCTGATTGTATATTGGGGCATAATGGAATACTTCTGCTTTACCATCTTTATTTGTTGCCACTTTTCCACAAATTCCATTAATTGATAAATATATTTTTTTGTTTCCAATATTCGAAAACCTTCATATTTGCATCTTATAAAGCTGTCAATAGTGTCCGCTGTACATTGTTGTCAACTAAAGTCATGTTGTTCTACTAAAATTGGCGACTAAAGATGTGTTATTCTGCTAAAATTTGTCTTGCTCCTATTCCTTGCTGAGGAAACTGAGCCTGAATTATATTAGTTTTGTTTTTTGTTATACTTATGTCTATATTTCCAACATATGCATGACATAATAGCAAGGGAAAGATGGATCACTGTTGATGTGTAATACTCAGATAAGATAGATCGTCGATCCATATTAAAGAGGAAGAATTCTGATCGCGTTTTATGCTAATATGTTGACTTGGTAATATCTAGAAATCTTGGCAGTTGAGGCGGTTTCAATTCCATTTTTATTTTCCAGTTGACGTTTGTGGCCACAGTTCACTTGGTTCACAGTTGTGCCTATTCAAGAATATTTGCATTTTTATATTATAGCGATAACAAGCAAGACAATGAAATTACATCCTGGCAGGGTAGAGAGCAAAGCTGAAGTGCATAGTTATGCAAGATGGAAGCACATGAAGAGAAAGGTTTTGGTTTAAAGTGTTTCACTTCCCAATTATTACGTCATCAGCATGCATTGTGCAGGCCATGCAAAATGGAATGATCTAGAAATGACAAAATCCAGAGAAGTTATTACGATTTTTAAAACAGAGAGGAAGAATTTAAAGAGTTTACCATTACTAATTAATTAATAAGTCAAACAACAAAAATCAGCGTTATATTTTGAAAATTTTCACAGGACTAGTTTCGATGGTATTACCGAACCACCATCCTCAGCTGCAAAACCGCAAATGGTTTTCCATATAACGCTGATTTTTGTTGTTTGACTTCTGAATTAGTATTTATTCGGCGTGTTATTGTGTCTTAGTTTACCATTAGTTTAAATTATGATTTTGATTCACATATTTTTTTATCTTATATGCATAAGGCTGATCTGAGTGCCAATGAAATAAATTTCCACATGTACTTGAGGCTATACTTTTCCATTATGTGCCTGCCACACAGTAGGTTTTATAACCATAAGTAATTTGTAGTTAGAAAAGTAATTTATAGATGGTAAATATACCACATGGCAGGTGATGGCTGATAGCACCTGCCACAACAAAAATAAAGGGCTGGTGCATAATTGAAAAGTAGCCTTAAAAGTTTATCCGGAGAACAAATGAGTTATTCATTCAAGCATGGCTAAATGGATGGTGAATATCATTTACAAAATTTATTTTTAGAAATTTCTGTTAAGTTTATTCTCATTAATACTTGTGACACTTCACATTGCTGTTGGCCTAAGTTTGCCAAGCATAATGTAAGCATAAAAGGCTACAGTGTTTGGTATTCAGTTACTGATATTTAAAACAAAAATAGTTTTAGACATTGCTGTATAATTCACTTCTCAAGGTAGTAGGTGTAAAATCAGCAGTAAACTTCTGATAGATGGTTTTGGACTATTTCATATACTGTTTTGGACAGCAGTAAACTGTGATAGACTGTTTGAGATGTACGCTGAATAATAAGGTGGCTGTGGAGCCAAATTATTGATCATGCAGATTTATGCTGATAATTGATTGTATTTCTTCAGTATTTAAGTGTTTTAGTTAGTGCCGAAGTGAAATCAAGAATCGGGCCCCTCTGCATGTTTTCTTATGAAAAAATGGCAACTGTGCTTGCATGAAGTGTTAAGCAGATGCTACTCTCGGAATCTAATTCTTTCTCCCTTTTCACACACACACCAAAAAAAAAGGGGGGGGACAAAATTAGTATTAAAAAAAATCTGAAACGTTCCAGATTTTAAATTGCGTACAAAGAGGCATTTTAATGTTTTGTGTGTTACCTTTATTTATTAAATATCATGTTCTTCACAAGCTTTAAATCATAAGATTCAATTCAACAGCCAATATCGTAAAATAATTTTAAAAATGAGCATATCTTTAGAATTTCAGATACACAGTCTCGCCAGCGCTGGAGATAAAAATGCTCTATTCTTCTCTCCGTACAGTGTTGCCATTGCTCGCTTTGAAAAATCGTTGAGTTTGGTTAATCAAAAGCTTTGTTAAAGTGTTACAAAATATGAAATCTATAATAAATCAAATTCTAAATTTCAAATTCGGGCTTCCAGATGCCCATATTCGGATGGAGGACGTACGTTTATCAAAATTTGATAGCTCTAGGTCACATTGTTTTAACACAATGCGAGAAACATACATACATTTATTCAGATTCTTCATTATTTAATTTCTTTAAATATAATACAGGGCTCTAATATTTGTTGGCAACAATTTGAAAGTTGATACAGCCTTTTAAAATTTTCAACACAAAATGCCAAAATGAAAATAATAGTCTTTCAGGGCAAATTGTCCCTTTGGACTAATTTAAAAAAAAAAAAAATCTGAAGATTTTACATTATGCCCAGTGGCATTTTTTAATGTTTTGTGTGCTACCTTTATTTATTCAGTATCATGTTCATTGCACTTGAAACATAAAATTCAATTCAACAGCAATATCACAAAATAATTTTAAAATGAGTGTATCTTTAGAATTCCCGATGCACAGTCCTGCGCACTGGAGATAAAAATGTTTTTTTTTCCCCCATACAGTGTTGCTATTGCTGGCTTTGAAATCGATGAGTTTGTTAATGAAAAATTCATTAAAGTGTTACAAAATATGAATTAGATAATAAAACAAATTCCAAATTAGGGCTTCCAAATATCCATATTCAGTAGAGAATTATGTTATTCAAAATTTGATGGCTCTAGGTATTGTGCTTTCATCACAATGCGAGAAACATACATACATTTATACAGATTCTTCATTATTTAATTTCTGTAAATATAACACAGGGTGGTAATATTTAGTGGGAACAATTTGAAAAGTGAAATGGACATTTAAAGTTTGTTAAGCAAAATGACTAAACAAAATTAATACTCCTTTTGGACTAACACCCTTTGGGCTAAAAGAAAAGAAAAAGAATTGTGAAGGTCCAGATGTAAGATCGTTTTAGATGTCCAGATTTTGGACTTTGGACTGTATTATACTTAAAATTTGTTCAATATGTTCATGGGGAAATTAAAACAACTCGGTGCTTTTTTATACCAGTATTGTATTTTCTGCATCATTTCTTCATCTTATATATTTTTCCTAGAAGATAAAATGTTCCTGAATTCGTCTTATTATTATTTTTAGGTCAATAAAAGTATTTTGTCATTCTTATTGCTTTTTATTATATCTTATATGAGAATCATGAATTTTTTTCAAAACTGTCTTAGATGAAATTATTTCATATTCCAAAATCTTAACTTATGCTTTAAAATTTTGTTAATGTAATCCAATGAAAGAATTTTTCTTTTGGATGTAATACTATATTAAGTTTAGTTATTATCCCATAAAATTGCCGTTATTATACATCCATTTACTTTATCTGAATTATGAGAAAACAGTTTTGATTATTTTGGTTGCCTAGCTTTAAACGTTTCAAAGAAAAATATTTTTGATATGTTTATTTTCAGTTTGTGATAAAATCATTCATTTCAGCAATAAATAGACATAATTGTTAATCAAGTGATGCATAAAATCTTTCTTTTAACTTTGATGTCATGAAAGTGCTTACAGCATATGCTAATCATTTTAAATATAATTTTATCTGGATTTCTGAATGGCATTTTTCAATATAATAGTAATTTTTTTTATTCTGTTGTTTTATCCTGAGTGTCATAAATAAGATAGATTTCTAGGAACACCCTATATTTCAACAGTCTTAAAATTTTAAAGCTTCATCTGTGTGCTGTTATCTGCTTTAAGAATAAAATCTATTAATTATGAAACAATTTCATTGTGAGATATGGATTACAAGCTTTCTCTCTGTATATATTTCTTTTATTAGTTTTGTTCAAATATAATATCCTTTTTAAATTTGTTGGTGTTTTTCTATTTATACCATGCAATATTCAAAAAAGAAATCCAGATTCCCCCCCCCCTGCTTTGGAATTTTATTATTGCTGAATAGTAAAGATTTAGTTTCATGTGTTTGCAGTAAAAACTATTTTTTATTTAAGAAGAGAAACAAATTATTTATATAGTTTTCATATTATTAAAAACTTTTGCAATTTTTTAAAGTCCTATTCAGTTTGAAAATATTCTGGGTGGACAAATTCAAATAGTTTCTCATTCAAGCATTAATTAAACTAAGGTAATTTCTACATCATAAGTCATGTTTGTTCACTATATTGATAGAATTCAATAAAAAAAGTGCCCACACTTTTGAATATTTATATCATTCACACACTGAGAATCAATATTTTGTCTCTAAAAATCATGCATCCCTTTGTTTCAAACATATAAAATTTCCTCTGTATCAGTACTTGTGTGATAAAGAGATGACAGTGTGATTATGATTCTTGTTCCTCATATAACTTTATTAGTAAATCACTGAAGCATGGGGTGCCCACCAGCGGCCGAGCGGTAAAGTCGCTGAACACTGGTAATTCGGTCCGAGGTTCGAATCCCGCGAACGGGCTGGCTGCATGGGCGGTTTCGTGGTTTTCCCCATGTGTAACGTGTATACAAGCCAGTTTCCCTTAGAAAGTCCTCCACGAAGGCATCCCTCCCCTTAGGCAGATAGGCTTCGAGGCTTTGCCATAATCACACACACACACTTAAGCATGGGATCTTGAGTGATATGGGATTTTCATAAACTTGGAATTCATCTTCGAGTCCTATATCATGGGAGCTAATTATTCAGGAATTCATGGAAATTGAGATGTTTTCAGCATCTGTTATTTATGGTTTCCTCACCATTTACTTAAATTCAGTTAAAAGCAGTATCTTATGGCTATATCAATAATGTCTTGTCCTTTAAAGTCCCTTCTTGTGTTTTCAAAGGCTGAATTCACATCTGTATTAATGTCCAGATGATTTTTTGCAAAATTGGGGGGGGGGCACACTGGGTATGCCAATTTTCAAAGCTGATGGAATGCAATTTCCCACAGTTTTATTCTGTTATGCTTAAAATAAGCAATACTTAGACATAATTATGATATATATATTTCATAAAAATAAGAAATCTTTATACCAAGAAAGCAATATATGATTAGCTTATTTGTGTATCCCATGTATAAAAACAAATACCAATTAAAAATTATAATTGCTAATGTGGAAGGTATTAATTTGCTATGCTGTTTTAAATCCCAGGTTATATTTAAAATTTTGATGTAAAAGGGGGGGATACATATTTCGTCTTATGTGTATTGGCATGTGTAATGCAAGTGTTATCAAAGTATAAATTACACATTCATAAAACTTTGCTAAAGCATACTTTTTTTCTGGAATTATTGTAAACAGCACATCTGTTGCATATGTTTGAATACAAAATTTAACATAGTTCCAAAGATGAGAAATTTATTCTTCAATTTTTACAGCATATGCTAAGTCAAATTTTTTCTGTGTCTTAACAGTGATGAAATGCGGTAAGGCAAATACCAATGCATTATTATAGTTTTCAAATTTCTATTTTAAACAGATTTTTCATGTATTTTATTTTGCATATCATTTAATATCTTATTCTTACAGGGCCAATTAGCTTAGCATTGTATATGTCAGACTCAGAAGTTCAACAATTTCTGAGTTACACTCTCAGCTCCGAAATTCTTAGCAGCAGGAAGAATCTTGGTTATCATATTGTATATAGAGATGGGGTGAGTTCTGGATTCTAATCTAATGTTAAATTTTATAATCAATTGCATATTATTGTAATATTTTGTAAGATTTAATATTTATATTTTTAATATACTTAAGCTTTTAATAAACATATGCCATTGTTAAAATGATGAATAGGACATAATGGCCAAGTAATTAGAAGACATTATACATATAGGGGTACTAAATACACTCATTGCCATAAAAATTTGTGCACCAAGAAATGATTGTAGGATTCTAACAAAACTTGGCATGAAGGTACATGTCGGGTAGATATACAAATGATTAGAAATGCAGCGGGATTGTGCATTGCATAATGCCACTAGAGGGCATTGAACTTTGTTCTTCATGGAGTGTAAAACAGGTAAGCAGAGCTTGTTTGAGTGTACTTAATCTTTTGCTAAGGAAACACTGAGGTAGGCATGCTGTTACGCAGTCATCAAAGCCAATATCAGCAGCTGTCAGAGTTCGAGAGGGGAAGAATCATCGGTATGATAGAAGCTAGGTGGTCAGCTTTGCGAGTAGCTTGTCAGGTAGACTATTCTGATTCTACTGCGAGGAAGTGTTTGAACCAGTCAACAGATGAGACGTCATTTACACGGCGACCAGGCTCAGAACGCCTTGGACAGACCAGTCGTCGAGAAGACCATCACATCATATGACACACATGTGTAGAGTTAACTGCCTCATTGGCTTCTATCCAGACACAGGCAGCAGCTTCATTATGGGCCCCTTCCTGGTTCAGGAAGGAGGACACCTTCCTGAACCACTGCAAGGCGCCTGGTTGAAGGACATTATTGTACCTGGTATTACCTGGTATTGCGGCGCCCATTACGTGTGCTGCCAGTGACACCCACCCACCCACCAACGCCTCCGTTTGGAATGTTGTCATGCAGGACAGGATTGTACTTTAATGGAATGGAACCGGGTCGTCTTCAGTGACGAATCTAGATTCAATTTGACTAGTGATGACAATCGTGTTCTTGTGTGAAGGTTCCATGGTGAATGCCTCAATCCTGCCTTCGCTTAACAGCTACACATTGTTTCCACATTTGGTGTGATGGTCTGGGGTGCAATTGCTTACGATACACGGTCACCCGTAATATTGATCCACGGTACAATGACAGGCCAGCGGTACGTCCCTGACATCCTTCAGCCACATGTGTTGCCATTCATGGTAGGGCTCCCAGGAGACTGTTTTCAACAAGACAATGCTCAGCCACACACAGCGTGGATCTCACAAGACTGTCTCTGCCACATTAACACCCTTACCTGGCCTGCTTGATTCCCAGATTTGCACCAATCGAGCATATTGGGGATCATTTGGAATGGCAGGTTGGACAGCCTATGAGATTGGCTGAACTAGAGACACATTTACAGCAACTGTGGAACGAGATGTCTCAGGACACCATACGGAACTTGTATGTCTCAATGCCCACTCGTATTACATCATGCATTCACGCTAGAAGTGATCCAACAGAGTACGAAAACTTCCGTTCATGTGTACTTTTTTCTGCAATAAATGATCCATTTTTCTTTGTATTTCTAATCACTTACTTATGTCAAAATAGTACTTACATATGTAAAATTTCGTTTCATTCTGACAACTCTTCTCTTGTGTGCAAATTTTTAAGGCAGTGAGTGTAATATGAACACCTGAAAAAAATTATGCTGCAGTACTGCCATGCCACATGCTGCAGAATTCTACTATTAGTAGCCATGAAGTGGAGATGCCAACTGTCCCTCAACAGTTGTTAGATGTGACATGCACTCATCATACTCTTTGAGAGATAGTGAAGTGTCATACCTGACAAACTTGCAAAAAGTCAAAATTGTTGATTCACATTTAGCTGGAACCCTGGTTGTTGGAAAAGTAGGAACTTTTTAGTTGTGCAAGAAACATATTATCAGCACTATGATACATACAAGAAAGATTTTAAGATGGGATCTTTGAAGCACAACAGTGGAAGAAAGACAAAACTGACTGATTGGGATAAAAGAGTATTGAAGTGCACAATACCCAGAAAGTGAAATTTGTTATCCCAGATAAAAATCCAAAATGAATTCTTATCTCCAAGAGGTTGTTTCAGCCAAATAGGGAACTCTGTGCTGCAAATATTTGTGATTGAGAGGCATTTCTAAACCATCGATGGCATAATGTAATGGTTTCAAACAATGTTAGTGGTGCAGAGCTCACCAAGTTTATGAAAATTCAAGTTTCACAGCTGTGGTAATAATTCATCTGGTTTCAATGGGCTAGCATTGATCCTGTTTTAGACTGTTGAGCAAGTAAATGTTTGAAATATGTGCAGAGAAGCATTTATGTCTGCCTGTTTCTTGCTGATTGTAAAACTTGCTGCCCAGCTGGTATAGTGGTTAGTGATGCTGACTGCTGTGCTGATGAGCCAAGATTTGAACCCCAGAGAAGGCATGTATGTTTGTAAGCACATAGTATTTGTTGCAACAGAGGGGCACTTGAAATATATGGGGAGTGTAAGTCTTCTGGAGAGGTTGTGGTAAGGGAAGAGGGATAGGAGACCCTTAGACTGCCTCCTGGGGTGGTTTTCCTCAAAAATTGGGCAGAACTGCACAGTTAGTGCAGCAGGACTGTACTTGTATGACCAATAGTGAAATTCTGGTCTCCCACCCACTTCTACCTGTACTTTCGATTGAAGCTTGGAGATAGCTCCTACTGGTATGGAGTGTGATGGCTTGATCTGGTTTTATCCATGGTAAAGGCCGATCTTTATTGAAGCATCCTAGCAGATTATGTCCACATTTTATTCCATGGAGTGCACCTACTTTTTCAAGATGTCTATGCTTCTATTTACATCCCTAGATGTGTATAAGCATTGTTCAGAAAGCATGCCATCTCATCTGGTCCGACTTGAACATTGTTGAAAATTGGTGGGGATATTTGGAATCTAAACTTATGCTTGAATTCCACCCCCACTTTGGTTTCTCAGATTAGAGATTTCTGTGTAGGAGGAATGAGTTCATATTCCCTTAAATAACATGAAAACATTCTATGCATCCATCACATATAGCATACAATGTGCACTTCAGTCAAATGTTGGTTCAAGTCACTATTAATAAAAACTTTCTATTCTAACTATATTTCCATTGGTATTTGTATTATTTTGTATTCCATCTGTACTTCATACCTGGGCATTCAGTAGGGAAGTATTAATTATATTAATGTTTAATAAAGCTATGATGCCCTGATAATTTGGATTAATTGGGCACTAAAATTGTAGCTTGTATACTTAGAGGAATAGTTTTTCAATTTTTATAATAATTTCTGTGTTTGAAGTTAAACTTTAGACAAATTTAAATTAATGTTTGGTCTTTAATTAATCCTCTGACTGCTCAATTTGTAGACCAAAATCGCTTCATTTTTTTTTTTTTTTTTTTTTTTTTTTTTTTCCATATTTTAAATCTATATATATTGGAGAATTGAAATCTGCACTTTTTCTTTCTAGAAAAAATTTTTTATATAGATTTTTGTCATGAGAAACTAAGTTGCCATAAAAACCAATTTCAGATGTTATCACGAAAAAACGTTTTTTAAAATAAATTTCAGTCAAATTACAGTTAGTTTTTATTTATTGTATAATATAAAAAGTAAAATGTATAAAATTTAAGAAAATATAAAGTGCTGAGAGAAAAATACCTTAGAAATGCAGTTTAGCATGATAGAGTTCAAAACAGGGTTCAAGGCAAAGTCCAACTTCACAATCCTTGCACCAGATTCAATAAATCTAATTAATAATTAATCTAATTAATAATTCAATAATTTAATTAAATAATCAAGATACTTGCTAAATGTTTTCTAGCAGCCATTTCTGTAAGGAAAAAGTGTCAAAAAGTGAAGTTTGAGCGCTAATACCACGTGCCTTCAAAATGCCGCAATTTAGTAGACAACTAACAATATCTTTAAGCCAAAACATAAACTAAATACCTAATACTGTATATAATTTTTATGATGTATTTCAATGGTTAAGCAGAAAAAAAAAAGGGATCCGCTCCACAATAAAGGAAGAAAAACATATGCCCGTGGAAATCGCAGGATGAGCAAATTTTGCTACATTTGAGTGCCCGTGGAAATCGCGGGATGATCAGCCAGGGGGTTGATTATAAATGTGAAAATCAAATGTTACATTTTCAGACATAATTTTAAAATTTTGCTTAAGCATAAAAAACAAACCAAATAAAATTGAGCTGAGTTGCTGTAGTTAAATAAATCACTAATGAAAATGTATTTCTTTATTAGGAAATTTATGTAAATAAAGTTCAGATTATTTTTATTGTAAAAAAGCTATTTTATTTAGCATTAGGTCTTGAGTTATTTTCTGTAACGAGCAGTTTTCAGGCTAAAAAGTGTCTCGTTATATTGATATTCCTTTTATATTATTTTTATTACCACAGTTGAGACTGTCAAACATTAAGATATCCCACCCTTTATTTTGGACATCTGCGTCTAATAGCATTGCAGTCATATCTAATATAACATTGTGTCTTGGAATTAGCAATACTACCTCGCATAATTTTTTTGCTCAGTCTGGCCTGATAATTCCTACTTTCTGTAATGCCAGTCAGTTAGTTGCTCTTAAGCAGTGATTAACCAAAAAAAGAGAGAGAGAGAGAAAGAGAGAGTTCCCCCTCCTTCTTAATATTTTGTATTTAGAGAAAAGATTTAAAATGTATTAATAATCTTTATTTGAAATATCTATTAAATGCTTTACTCTTATAAAATAATGAACTGCAGTTTTTATTTTCCATAAATTAAATTACACTGCTCGACATTGAAAATGCAACACCATGAAGGAGTGGTCAGAAATTTATGCAAATTTTAGAGTAGATGCACATCACTGAGTTATGCGAATGATGTGAAATGCGCAGCTCTCCGACGCACGTGAAGTAAGATATAATGGAAGGAATGTGCAGAATGGGCAATATCCGTGTCGTTATTTCAGCCAGACAAATTATCAAAGAAAGTTGCTTTTTGTCCTGGAGGATACGTGTAATAGGAGAGAATGCCAGGCCGCCATCAAGGAAGGCACTTCCAGCAGATAGACGATTTTACAAGGGGTATGGTGATTGGACTGAGAAGGGCAGGTTGATCCTTACGTCAAATTGCAGCTGATACCCACAATGGATGCTAGCACGGTGCATCTGCTATGGTGAACATGGTTGGAACAAGGAAATGTGAGAAGAAGGAAGGGTGTAGGTGCAGCCAGAGAGACGTCAACACGCGTGGATCGACATATCCGGCGGTCCCGCAAGTCACTTGTACCGTGATTTTGCAACATGTGCAAGATACCCTGGATATTCTCGTGTTGACCAGAACCATTTCCCGTTGATTAGTTGAATGTGGCCTGCACTCACGGCATCCGTTAAGAAGACTGCCAGTGACCCCACAGCATAGACGCCAACGTTTAGAATGGTGTCGGACTGGAGCGATGTGGATGACCTGTCATCTACTTCGCTCCAGTTCTCAGATGAGTCACTCTTCTATTTATCCAGTGACAGTTGCCGCATGTGTGTGATGTGTGGCGTCGACGTAGAGACATATCTAATCCGGCAGTAACTGTGTATCGCCCCACCGCGCGACAACGTGGCATAATGGTTTGGGGCACTATTGCCTATGATTCCAGTTCACCTCTAGTTCGCATTCAGGGCACTATGACAACCCAACGAATACTTAGGATAATGTACTGCAGGCCGGTGGTAATCCCCTACCTTCAGGGGCTGCCTGAATGCAATTTTTCAGCAGGAATAACGCTCGACCACACAGTGCTCGCATCTGCCAACATGCTCTGCAAGGTATACAGATGCTTCCCAGGCCACCGTACTCTCCTGACCTGTCACCAATCGAACATGTGTGGGAAGTGATTGGACGTCGTTTGCAGACTCTGCCCCTGCCTTGTTCAGAAGACAAACTGTGGCAAATGCTTGAAAGGGAATGGAGAGCCATCCCTCAGGACACCATCCGCACTCTTTTTGACTCTATGCCTAGATGTGTTTCTTCGTGCATCGCTGTCTGAGGTGGTCCTACATCCTACTGAGCCGATGCCGTTCTTGCTCTGTATTCTGACTATCATTTTGAAATGAAGATCACTTATTGCTGCTTGCTGTCTCTGTCTTTTTTCCAAATTTCATCACCAAAGTGCACTTTTGGTGTTGCATTTTCAATGTTGAGCAGTGTATTTTAGTTTTTATTACCACTGGCTTAGTTTTTTTTTTATTAGTAATAAATTCATAGACATATCGAACTGTAAAATATTCAGTGTACTTCAACAATTTTATTAATGCTTAAATATCTGCTATTTAGGGATATAAAATATGAAAAATAAAGATTCATTAACAAAGCTAAAAGTGAATATATGTTGCAGTTGCATAATATTTTTATTAATACTCCTTATTGGTTGATCTTGTGTGGATTGCAGTAAAACTTGAATTATCTGATTCAATTGGGACTGGACACCATTCAGATATTCAAAAATTCGAATAATTGGATTTTTTTCCCGAAAAAAGGGTCTACGTATGCTTTAAGTAATTACTGAATGTACTATATGTTGAAAGTGGGAGGAAAAAAAACTACTCTTAAAGAAAAACAGGTTTTAATTAATTAAAATGAAAAGACAATACTCTTATGTATGTGTTATGTAGATTACTCTATGGTACTTTACAAGTGCTGAAAGCCATTGCTTGCTGAGTGTCTCAGTCAAAGTAAGCTATTTGACTATCTTTATCCGTTTTCGGGCAGACAAGTCGTGCATCCGCATGACAATAAGAAGCTGCATATGGTCACACTCCATCCACTTCAGTGCAGTTTCAAGGCCGGCAAACAAGTCACTAGCTGATGGTCCAATATTTGCTTCAACTTTGAGCAAAGGTCATCTTCTTCCTTGGCACTTTTTTTCTTTCACACTTCCAATAAGTTCATCATCATTTAGAATTTGAAATGCTGGGTCTGACGAGTCACACACCATCCATTCTGCTGTATCCTCAACACTAACTTCTGAACATCCAAGAATATTCTAAAGAATATTTCTTAATTCCTCAAATTACACATCACACTCATCTTCTCCTATCTTTTCCCTTTCTTTTCTTGAGCTTCTTTTTCCTTTTTCTCCTTTTCCTTCTTTTCTTCAGTTGATATGCCTTTCAACTTGTTCCACATACTTCTTAATGTGACTGCTTTAATCAAGCTCCAAACTTCTGTCCCATGGAAGTGCATTCTTTCAAATTAATTTTTTTGTGGGTAGCCAATACACTTTATTCGTCTTCACTCTCTACCAAAAGTTTCCTTAAAAGTTGTCTTCTGTAATGGCGTTTCATGGTTTCAATAATAGACTGATCCATTGGTTGCAACAAGTTTGCGACATTTGGTTGTAAAAGATTATTGTAAAACGACTGTAGACAGAATCATTATTTTTCGAATCACAGTGCGTCTCCGTCTTAACTTTTTTCTTAAATTCTGAAAGCCATTCGAATAATTAGACTTGTACTGTATATAGAATGGATTTTAGTTTCCTGGGTACCAAAAATAATTCTGTCTTTTGCTTTGTGCACAGAATTTAGTTTTCTTTGAAAGTAGGTGATTATATTTTGCACTTTGCATAATTGTTAAAAGTATTCAATGGTGGTTTTTTTGGGGGGGGCCGTTAAAGAAATGCTATTAGTTTAATACTTGGTAAAATCTATTTTGGCCATTATTTTTGCATTTACTTATTGCTTCATATTTTTGAAGTTTATTTTTAATTAACATACAACTATATGTGTACTTATGTATTATTTTAGCCATTTTATCCCGTCAACTTGTTACGGAATGTCGCTCTTCAGCAAGTGACTACTCCATTTGTATTTCTGACAGACATAGATTTCCTTCCTATGTATGGGCTCTATGAGTACCTCAAGAAGTCAGTAGCTTCCATGGGTTTGGAATCATCTATGAAGGTAACAGAGTTAATCTGTTTTTTTATTTATATCCGTAAGCTGGATAATGTTGAATACACGTGGAATTTACTGTACCTTGTATTTAACATAATTTCATAGTAAATTTAATGACATTAATATTTAAGTGTATTAATAATTCTGAGCAATTAAAGAGCTTTCATACTATGGCTTTAACATTACAGGTGTCATTGCCGTAAGTTGCAAATTTTGTAGCAGCAATCATACTTGCTAAACTTTTGGTGATTCAGATCTAAACCATAACAAGTAACAAGTTAAGGAAGTGTGATTTGTGTGTTTGATCCTTGCCAAATTTGGTGAATTCCTAGTCCCACCAAGTTTTCTTCATCACCCCCGTTATTTTTGCTTAAATGTCCTTTTTTAATGAAGCATTAAAAAAAGCATAACTTTTTATTTACGTATAACATTTTACTGAATTTTGAATAAGACTATTTAAATCATTTAAGAAATTTAATTTCTTTTGCATTTTGTTTGAATTTTGAAATCGTCATTGCTTGTAAAAATAAAAATTTCTAAGTATGTGACAAAATATTCATAATCTGAAGGCTTATTTTATTGAGTTCATATTATTGACCAATCATTCAAGAGCTATTCAGTTATGTTATTGTTGGCACTGTTTATCAGTCATTTGAGTATATTTGGTCACACAATCTGGATGAACTATTTTGTAGGGATAATAAACTCTGATATAGGGAATCACCTCCGCAATGAGCAAAATTTCCAAAATGATTTATGTTTTTTACTTCCTTGTACGAAGTAAAAAGGAAGTATTGTAATCGCGAAAAGTTTCAGGCAGCATATTTCAACAAAAATACCCATTTTGACCGCTATCAAATGCAATTTAATGATGTTTTTGCGTGATATCTGTACGTAAGGACAGAATAAAATACTCTTTTCCTTCAAACAAAGTATAAAACTGCTTTAAAATGAATTCTGAAGAGAATTTTTCGTGGTGTCTGTACGAACGTATGTATGTACGTGCGTACGTACATATCTCGCATAACTCAAAAACGAGTAGCCTCAGAACGTTGAAATTTTGTATATAGGACTGCTATAACATGTAGATGTGCACCTCATATTTTGGTGCAATCGGCCCCACCAAACGTATATAAATATATTTATATATATATCCACTCTGTTACCCGGCTCAGTGATCTCAGTTTCTTTACTCTTATATGTTTGTAAATTGTACATTTTTTTTTGCTTTAAAAATGATTAATTATGTTGTTTTTATCTTCCAGGTTAAGAATTTTATGCTTTTCATAAATCTGTGTGTGCAATATTTTTAGAATTATCAGCAATTTTAAAAGTTGTTTAATTGCCGCTAAGCCTTTTTTTTAATGGCGGCCATTGATGTTTACATTGAAACAGGAGACTAGTGGATTGTTGCCAATCTAGAGAAACTTAGCTTCGCAACAACAAAGATAACGCAGTCATTTATTATTGCCAATTAAATCATTCTTAATTCTTTCTGGAATTTTTTTGAGGAAATAAGTGTTTGATATGTACTTCGTAATTTTTAATATAGATATTTTGAGTTTTTATGTATTTTTGCCTTCTTGCGAAGTGAAAAACTGTTTCTTTTTTTTTTTTTTTTTTTTTTTTTTTGGTTTGCTTAATTTCTTTTATACATCATTCTAGCTTTATTATAGTATTTGAATAGAACATGTGGCAACGATTAGATAATTCTATTCTTTAAATGATATAAATTTTGTGCATTATGAGTTATAATGTGAACAAAATATATAAGTTAACTGTTATATAATTATTGGATTATATAACAGTTAACTTAGTTTCCATTATATAGTTATTATGTAAGTTAACTGTTATATAATTATTAATACTGTTAAGTGAATCTAGCGCCAGAGTGTCGCTATGGTAAACAAATACTAGAGTGAATTTTAAAGAATGCATTTATTCTATTGTGGTTTATGCACTGTCGGCGAAGTAGATTTAATTCAATCCAATAAGTTTAAATGAAATGCAAGAAAAAATGTGTATAATTTAATATTCCAATACAAGGAAGTCATGTGGTGTACACATCAGATTTTTTTTTTTTCCATAAAGATGTAATTCATCATAGATAATATGAGTATTGTCTGTTTGTTACTAATCCAAATTTGATTTTATGTATTGTGGAAAATTTGTGTTTTGTATTTGTATAACTGAGTGAAAAAGTTGATATGCAAATGTATTTTTTATTTTTGCAGGCTTTGATAGTCCCTGCTTTTGAAACACAGAGATATCGCTTAACATTCCCAAAATCGAAAGCAGAACTCCTTTCCATGCTGGACATGGGAACTCTTTTTACTTTTAGGTAACTTTTTAATTATAGGTGTCATTATTTTTTGAAAAATTGTTTGCTCCCCATGGTGCTGAAATATAATAAAATTACTTGATTTGTGCCCATAATTTTTAATATGTGCCTAAGATAATATTCAAATTGCATAAATCAGTAAAAATACTCATGGTAATAAGCAATGCATATAAAATATATCATATTATTTATGTATATTAATAATTGTAATGTATATGATAAAACTCCAAGTATCTATACTGTTCTGATAATAGGTCTAAAAAGTCTGGATATGTGGATTTTTTACTCAGCCACCTTCCTATTTTATATCTATTATAAAACTCTTGGACTAAGAGTTTTAAGCAAAATATTATATGCACATGATTACCAAAGTGATACTGTACCAAATCTGAGATTCAGAATCATCAGGATTTTGGAAATTTCTTAGTTTTAGATCAGTTCAGTCTAGTAAGATGACATGTAAAAGTTGTAAAATTAAAAGTATTAATAGTTAGTTATAAAATAATGAAACATTTATGGAGAATCAAAATTTACAATAAAATCTGAATATTTATTTATTTTGTTACATATTTCTTTCACTGCAAGTTGTTTAAACTATTTCATTTTTTATGTTAATATTTTCTCTTTAATTTTATAGACACAAATAATTTCTTATTCAGATACGAAAGTTCCATTGCTTAGGCCTTGTAATTGCCATATTGAGAATTCCCATTAAACTGCCAGTTGAAAATCTCTTCGCTCTCAACAACTGTTTGTCACTTTCTTAACTTATAGGTAGCATATTTTCGAGATCTAAAATCATACTACAGATTTTATCATTAGTTGATTTAGTTGATTGATGATTTGTTTAGTCAATTCCATTAATTGATTGATGACTGAGACATAGTCATCTCAATGGAAAACTTTTATCTTGATTTATTATCACTTCTCCACATTTCTTCACAAATTTAATTTATTGGGACATTTTGTTTTTTGCTGGTGATACCTGAAAACCTTCAAATTTGGGGCCATCATCATTATAATGAAATATGGTACCTGGCCATAAATGATGCAAATCATTTTTAAAACTATCTAATCCCATCACCTTACAATGCTCTACACAGAAGATTTTCTGTTAAAATATTTCAAATGTTCTTGAATGGTCTTGCCTCTGTTCAGAAATTTGGTGTAAATTTTGAAAAGATTATATTTATTTACATTTTGGCATGTGCAGCTGTCTGGTATCCCTTGTCTATCTTGCTATTCATGCATTCATGTGCATCCTTCAGTGTCTTAATGTTGTAGCACATGCCATGTTATACCATTACTTGCAAACAAAGCAATGATTACTGCAAAACAGTCGATGACCCTAAAGAGGATGTCTTACTATGCTATGCTGTCATTTTTTGCTGTGACACACCATATTTCTTATGTTAGGGTGCATGATGGGATGAAACATGATGTTCCTACAATGATTCATGATGTTCAGTTGCAGAAGATGTATACTGCACCATTAGCAAAGCAATGGCCACTGTGAAAACCATCCATGACCTTCAGTTCCACATTATTTACAGATATTGTTTGTAATGCCATACACTGTATTTCCTGTAAAGTAATCCCCCTTACTTATGTAACTTGGAAATATATAAATGCAAAAAAAGCTGTAACATTGAAACTGAAATTTTCCTGTAAGAAATTAGGACATTGCAAGCAATTCCTCTTTACCCTAAACAGTACTTTTTGCATTATTAGTTTTGATCACTTATGTACTACTGTTAGTATTCTTTGTTTCTTTAGTGTTGAAATGGATTTGAAATGCAAAATCAAATATGTTAGTAATAAATCTGAAAAGCTGCAGTTGCTTTAGAGGAAAAGTTTAAGAAATAAAAAGAAAAGTTGAAAATAATTCATATGAGAAAAATGGTAAAATTATATGAATAACAACTTAGGATATATATCATCCATTACTGGATACAATAGTAAAGGATTAAGTTCTCATTGTTAAAAGTATGAAATTGGTATTAATGTTCTTGGAAATGTTAACCATTCATATGCGTTTGATAAATCGAGCTACAAGATGTTTACGATAATAGAAAAGTTACATGACTACACTATCTACTCTAGACATATTTATGAGATCCCAGCCTTAAGATGACAACTCAGATGCCTTGAGTTGTCCCCAGACTTCAGTATCAAGAGGAGTAAAAGTTGCCAAAGAAAGACATTCCTCTTCATCACCATGCACTTCTAGGATTGGCTGAACAACTCTAGAGCAAATTAGATGTCACAAGACTTTATTTGAAAAAGATTGTTTCAGTTAGTTTTTTATTTTTTGGATATTTTTCGTACTTTTGATATTCAAATAACTAACATTGCATGATGTTTCATTAATCATACAGTGCTGTGTAAACAATGTACGATTGTTTCAGTTAGTTTTTTTATTTTTTGGATAATTTTCGTACTTTCGATATTCAAATAACTAACATTGCATGATGTTTCATTAATCATACAGTGCTGTGTAAACAATGTACATACATATATTCATGCATACATATAATAAATATTGCAGTGTCTTACAAAGTTATACTTTAGCAGTTTATGCATTACGTAATGTAACTTGGTGGATTACTGTATTAGAGTTTGCATAATAGGCTGTATATTCTGTTTTGGGCCATTTTTAGATGATGCCTATCTTGTTAAAGTGTCAGAGTTGTTTTATGCTTCCATGCCGCTTCCTGAGTCCCACCTGGACCCATCAATTCCATATTAAAATTGGGGTAATTGCAGTTAAACTAATGTCAGCAGCAATTTGACAGTATGATAATTCAAAATTGCAATATGCCGTTTTATTCTCCTGTGATCAAATTCAGAAGCATGGCTTATCATTCAAAAGCTCTGTTTTCTTACTGAAGGCTTACTCTACTCTTCAAATTTGTTAAACAGGAAACCTAATTCTGATACTATAAACTAGCCTTTCTTTTACTCTGATTTTAAGTGATGTTATAATATCCCATTGTTTGCATATATGCTGCCATACTTTTTATTCTGTATCATACTCTGTGTATATTTATATATGACGTGAATATTAATCCTTTTCATATCCTACTGTGCCCTGTTTATTGTGAAATCTTCAGTCAGCTGTTTCTGTCTAAGTGTTGCAATTGTAATGACCAGGGGTGTGTTGAAAAACATATTTGTCCTAGAATTTTTCGTAAAAATTTAATCATTGGAAAGTGTAATCTGAACTGTCGTTAGTTAAAAAAAATTGGATTTTACTGAAATTGCATGCTGTTGTTTTCTTCAATTTTAGGTATCATGTATGGACCAGAGGTCATGCTCCTACTAACTATGCCAAATGGAGGACGGCCACAACACCGTATCGGGTGCAGTGGGAACTGGATTTTGAGCCCTATATTGTAGTCCGTAGAGATGTTCCTGAATATGATCGTCGATTTGTGGGATTTGGCTGGAACAAAGTCTCACATATAATGGAGCTATATGCCCAAGGGTAAAGTCAATCCTCTAGTGTTTGTATAAAAGGGGATAAGCTTATGCTATCACAGTATAAAAATCAGAATTATTTTTTCTAATGAAGCTATACCCATATCAGTTTTTATTTAGAATGCATTTGCATCATTAACTTTAATCATATATGTATCACATTCATATGCAATTAGATTTTTTTCTAATATTTGTATTTCTTATTCTGTTACCTTATGGTTAGAAAAAAATATAACTGTCATGGGTGAAAAGATCATTCTCTGACTTTCTTTCCTGCAGGGGGGGGCTATAACATATGAAACTTCATTTTATTCAGGCATTCTTTTTATTTATTAATTTATTTCTCTCACATAGACATAAATCTAAATGTAGATAGTTATTTTATTATAACATAGATAATTTTGTTGCAATGGTTTTGAATTTAATTTTAATTAATTTCTATGGTTATGCCCATTTAGGAATATTAGCAGGCATTATTCCTCTTATATTTAATAGAGTATCCAAAATTTGGAGGTAATTCTGTTTTTTCCACCTTCAAGCTCATGAAGCATTAAGGCAAAGTAGACCATCATGCTTTGCCTCAATGCACTAAGTGTTGTCTCACTATCAGAGCCTGATTTCTAAAATTTGAAGTTTAAGAGTTCTCTAAAATGCCATCAGGAATTATATTAATATATTAATAAATATATTAATGACAAATAGTTAAACAATAAAATACCAGATATCATTCAATTTGGGATTCTAGCTGGATTTACAATCTCACTAAGCTAAGAAATACCAGAGGTGGGCTGTAATGGCTTCCCACTGAATTTAAGCCCTTAATATGGTTTAGCAATGATTGTTTTTCCACCACACCAATCAATGAAGGTAAAATGGTTACAATGTAGTTAATGAGAGTGCAGATAATGCTGAAAACAGTGGGAAAATATGGAAGAAAATTTTAATGGAGAGATGTGGCCATCAAAACAAAGCTATAAGAGTAAAAAAAAAATTCTGATCATGATCCCCTCCCATTGTAATTATAGCTGTCTTACAGAGTGTGCATTGAGGAAAAATGCTCTGAAATCCAAGGGTTGATCCATAAGCTGGGGAAAAAAAATAAATAAGAGGTTCTGTGTAAGTAACTATTTTGATTTTCCATATTTGCTTACATCAGCCTGAATAAGTGTACTGTCGTTTTCCATAGAAAGTTGCCAACTTTTTTTAATGGTGGAGACATATTTATGCCCTATTCTTCTGTGGCACACATTTAGGAAGATAAATAATTATTCTTTTTCCCTGTCCTATTCTAAATGCTAATAACTGAATCAGTGGATGCAGCAACATGACTAGGATGACTCCAAGAAATTTACCCCTTCTTAAAAAAATTCCAATAAATTTATTGCACTTCCTAAAAGCTAAGATTTTGACACATGGGTGAAGCGCTTTTCTTTACTTAAATTTTCATTCATAGGTTTGTTTTCCCACAGGGTTCATAGCAGTCATTACAAGTGCTTATAAGTCCTTATATTTGAAAATAAAATATAAAGGCCCTTATAGGTGCTTACTTTTTCTTTAAAGCCCTTATTTTTTTTTTTTAGTGCTTATTTTTGCTTTTTTTGCTTTTTTTTTTTTTAATCCTTTGTTTTTAATGAACGCACATTTTTTCCCCGTACCAAAGCCGAAACTAAATAAACAACTTTTCTTCCTTATATGCAATGTCAGATGGTGAATCATACTCCCGAAAATAGCTTTTCCCCTTTTCTCTGCATTAACATAACCTATGGTGCGCACGAGAGTACAGACAGGTGCACGTCGTTCTATTGGTCAAAGTATTGCGAAAGCGGTAGAAAATTCCGTACATTCGGCATTCTTTTCCTCCCACCCAAATACTACACACGTTTGAATTTCTATCAAGATTTTAATAATTTGCAGTCTCATTCGGTCTGGTCAGTTTATATTCGCATTTATTATGATCGTTATGCTTATGTTATGAGTATATGTATGAATGTTTATAATAATATAATTGCAGTAACTGCTGAAGTATAGATAAACTTCCAAAAATGGGTGTGTTTTTTACACAGATTAGCTTTCTAAGGAATAATATTCGGAATGGCTTAAATAAAAGGAAAGTAATCGAATAGTCAAAATAATTTCAATTTTTTTTGGCCAATACATTATACAGTATGGAGGTTGGGAGGTTCTCCCCTTTCTCCGCAAAATCTCTAATATTGAAGCAAGCGGACTTTTTTTTTTTTTTTTTGTCACTGTTCCAATCTGGATTGAATAGGACTAAAAGTTTTTGCTGGTCTACCCAACCCAAGCGAAGAATGATTCTATTCCGGAAATTTAACGCAGTCTGTTGAAAATTAGAATCAGAAACACCCCAGATTAGTAAGTCTCTTTCTTTTCCTTTATTTAGTTCTTCATTCTCCGAATACCGGCAGCTGTTGATTCCGATTGCGTAATATCACGTATGGGAAAAGAATTACGCCGCACGTATTGCGCAATAACGTTTGCAATATTTTGCAGAGATAATTAATTTTGATGTTCAGTCTGAGATTTGTTTATGAACACTTAAAAGAGTTTTACTGTGCTTTCTAAGCAGAATATTTCTCAGTTCCGTTGGTTTTTTTATATGATGCACATATCAAAATGTCAAAATCATTTATTTAGCGGAAAAAATCTAAAGAACGGCTACAATCTTCCCCACTCCTCTTTTTCAGTTACTATCCGGAATATTCGCCAATTTCCGAGTATGCGGGTTAGTTAAGCTTTTACTGTTAAAGGATGACTGCATGAAGCAATTTCCATCTTCTGATTTCAGAAATGTTCCTCTTTTTTACTTAAATTACTTTGCTTGCAATATGTTAAGGGAAAACTGATATGCAATGAAAATTTAGAAAATGTTCAGAATTTTGATTTAAGTTAAATTATTTAAATATTAATATGAGTGGAAAAATAAATTGTATTTATTATTAGGTTCCAAGCGAATACAATTAATATGGCTTATTATTATTTATTTTCTATATTTTGAACTGAAATTTCATCATTAAATTAAATTGCATAGTTTTTTTTTTTTTTTTTCCTCTCATTGTAAACTAATTCTGTAAATTGAACTGTCATTTAAAATTTAAAAAAAAAGTTAATTGTTTTCCATTGTTGAGGTAATGCTCATTCTCTTAATAAATATTGCATTGCTCATATTTTACATTTTTCTTTTAAGGTTATGCAGTTGTGTATAATGTAATTAGACAGGTGCTTATTTTTTCCTTAAAATGTGCTTGAAAAGTGCTTAAAGGTGCTTATTTTTTTAACTAAAATGTGGCTATGAACCCTGTCCCATGAAGAGAGAGGTATACATTTAGGACTTTGTATGTATTTCTAAGACTTACTTAGTCCTAAAATAAAATATTATAAGATCAGGAGAATTTTCTGCTGAAATATGCAGTTTCATGAGAAGTGCCAGAGCTTATCTTATTTCTGACTATGGACTCCAGTTAGAATTACAATTTATCTCAAAAACTGGAAATACTAGAGCCTGGTTTTGGTGTGCTGTGGAACAATTTAAGCATTGCATATAACATCCTTTTTTAAGTTGTTGTTGCAAAATGTATAATCTTTTTTTTCTGTTCAAAAGACAATATTTTTTCAAAAATCAGTTGTTGAAATTTTTTATCTTTTTTACAATAATTTTCCACCAGTGGCCAAGCAATGAAGATTTATAAATACTGATGGTTCGACTACAGGCAAATTTGGTGGCTGTGTGGTTGGTTTTCATGCTTTTTCCATGTGTAACATGAATACAAGCCAATTTCCTTTAGAAAGTCCTCCAGAAAGGCATCCCTTAGATAGATAGCTCTCATGTGTTTTGCCATATTTGAACTTTCTCATGAAAATAATAATAGCTTGTAGCATTAAAAATTATTATGCTTTTGAGCATATTCTTTCCTATTCTTTATTTTTTGAGCTTAATAGTAATAAAATAAATGCAACTGGATTTTGTGGCAAGAAATAAAAATACTTTTATTTTATTAACTCCTCAAAAAAGTGCTATGTTTTCACTGTGTTAATTTTCTTACCGACGAAATACAAGGTTTGTAATTTCCATTTAATTTTGAAGCAATGAAAATATTGATTATCTGATACCTTTAGGAGGAGAATAAACAAAGATAATGATTTCAGTAGTACGTTTATGGCTTTTATTAAATCTGCTTAGTTTCCTGCAGCTCCAAAACAATTTACTTTTACAGTGGTTGCTCATAAAAAAGGAAAAAAATATTCCATTAAAAATGGAATATTTAGCTACCATTTTGAAAAGTTAATTTTTTTTCAATAATTTGATCTGTGTTTAAATCTTCGTGAATGATGAGGCTGCAATTTTGAGTTTTAATTTTATTCAGTAGTAAAGAATAGTTAATCAATTGGCCAGAATAGGCATTATTTTCATTTAAGGAAAAGAATAAAATCTTTTATTTTATTTTATTTTTTTAAAGTCTTTAAATTTTTTTTCCAGTGTGTTAGGCAGGATTCCAAAATTTTTGGATTATATATTCCCCCCCCCCCCCACAGTTAATATTAACCCTCTGAGCAGCACAGGATTTTAGATCCATCATGAAGACTGGTATTTGAACAGCATTTATTAATTGAATTTGTATAATTTCTTATTTTAATCTGTATTTTCATAAACTTACATTCATTAAGATGATATTTACATTAAGGAAAATAAGAAACATTATTAAGGAAAGTAAGAAAGCAAAATATCTTAAATTATAAGTTAATATATGCCAAGTAGCAAAACTTCTGATGACTGGGTAAAGCCTGTCATAATGCTCAGAGGGTTAAATGTTTGCCATTTGAATTGAAAACATGTCCGCATTACTTTAAGATGTTCAATATAAACATAATGAATATTTTATGTTTATAAACAAAGCACTTTCAATTAGTTGGTAATTAATTATACTGTTGTTGAGATAGTTGTGTATAATTTAAAATGTGATTTTATGTTTACTACAGTAATTTGTCTTATATTTAATGAATTTGAGAAGAATATTGTAATAAATATTTTGATGTGCTTATATTTAAAAAAAGTGTATATAAATTTCTGCATTACTTAATGCGTGTTGTTTTCTTATTTAGGTATGAATTTGTAGTGCTTCCAAATGCATTCATTGTGCACATGCCCCATGCTCCCAGTTTCGATATTGCCAAATTTCGATCGAGTTCACAGTATAGGAAGTAAGTAATTATTGTTAAAAGTTTAATTCTTTCTAAAATCAGACTTTCTTTATAATGTCTGTCATTCCAAAAGTAATTTTTAGAGAATTATTTTATAAAGAATTCCCATTTTCTCTTTTTCTACTAAAATTCATGATTACATTATAAAGCAGCCAAAAAAGTAGGTACATTGAATGTAGGGAAATATATGCTGTGATTTAAAATCTTAACATTATGTTTTGTTTAAAATATGGAAAAGCATACAACTTTCCAGTGGTATATTTATGGCTTTCAATTTAGTCAGCTGTGGTTTTTGTATGCCTTGCAAACTTAATTGTGTGTGCAAATTAAGTGTAGATGCAATTTTATCATCATTATGATTGTCTTCTTTCTAGTCACGTGTACTGCATACCAGTGATGCATTCAGATATAATAATTACTTTCAGATTACTGCCCTAAATAAAAATATATATATATTCCCTCCCCCCCCCATAACAGTTTGTGATCTTATCTTTGATTAGGAATTGGTATGTATATAAAAGTGATGCATACAGCAACTGAAATTACATTAATTTGATCTTACATTAACATGTTTTCAGTAAATTAAATAAATATTCCTTCATTAATTATTTAATATATTAATGTAAGCAGAAACAAATACAAAAATTGTGTTTTAAGAAACTGAGTTATGAACCCATTGTTTGCAAATTTTATTACGAATTCTGATTTTATTTTAAAAAAATGTCATAGTTAAGAGCAAAAAGGCTTGTGTGCCTGTTACACATGGGGAAAACCATGAAAATGCCCACACAGCCCATATGTCGGGATTCAAACCCCGTACCAAACTACCAGTGTTCAGCAACTTTACTTTTCGATAATAAAGGGTAAATAAATGCATGTAGTAAATATGAATATTAATTGAATAAATCAAAACACAGGGTTCAAGTTTTGTTGTTGTGACTGTAATATTTAATAATTTGTAAATGGTAACATTTAATATTTAGTAACTTGTAATTGGCAACACTTTGGATATAGATATGAAATGTAATAGAACTATGCTGATATTGCAGTGCTCTGTGATTATACATTCTAAGATTGTAAATAAATAGTTTCTAAAAGCTAAAAGTGTACCCTCATAATAATACAGTGACTTATCTCACTTCTCTGACCTAATTAGAACAAGTTGACGAATTTTACCATAGCAAGGAGCTCAAGATTGCATCTGTCATTGACATGGATCTTGAGCATCGTATAAGTGACGGTGCAACTTCAGTGAAATTTTGATGGACAGCATTGCAGGAGATGGGACTGTGGGTCTCCTACCCATCTTCTACCATTAAACTATTTGAGAGGATTTTGGGGTTACCGTGTATTTTGAGTAACTCCAAGCCACATAGACACTATACATTTTAAAATATCCATTCCTTCCCTGAGATTCAAACTCAGCGACTGATGCAGCAGGCAGGAGCACTAATCGATTGGGATGGCTGAAGTTTTCATAATCACCAATTACCATTGATTTGAATCATTAATAAATAAAGAATTTTTTTTTTACTTTATGTAATTAATTTCTCAGTATTATATTAATTCCAGCTTCATAATATTTCTGATTGCATAAGGATTTGTCAATTTCTTTGTGGAGTCAAAGCAGCTTTCTTGTTTGAAAGCAAGTTTCCCCAAGAGCTGAGAACAAAAATGAACTTTCCTTAGACAGATGAATGTTTCACTCTTGGATATCCAGCAGTTTCCTTTAATAGTTTACTACAAGTCTAGATATTTAAAAATTTAGTTTTCAGTGAGATCATAATTGCTGAGTAATTCATTGAGATCATAAGTTCATACAGTTAGCTCTGTATGCCATGGAAAATAGTTTCAATAGAAGTACTTGATACATGTGCCATGGATTGCTGATGGTTGTCTTTGGAAATAATAAAGTGATTGGTTTATTTGATTATTGCAACGAATGGAGAGCTATCTGCCTAAGAGGAGGATGCCTTCATGGAGGACTTTCTGTGGGAAACTGGCTTGTATGCACGTTACACATGGGAAAAACCACAAAAATGCTCATACAGTGAGCCTGTTTGCTCGGATTCAAACTATCAGTGTTCAGTAACTTTACCACTTGATAATAAAGGGTAAATGCATGTATTAAATATAAATACATATAGTAAAAGTGTATACAGTAAATATAGCAATAATGGTGTTATACAGTCCCTATTTACTCATGTAAATTTCCCCCTTTTTTCACTAATTCTGCTATTAGAAATTGACACAGGAGAATTAAGGGATGTATATAATTTCGGGGGGGGGGGTGGAGAGAAGAAATAAGAGGAAAATTTACGCTGTTATAAAGCATATTTTCATATATACAGTAATATTACTGCTTTCAGTTAATGCTTTCTTTATTTTGAATCTATCCATTGCTAGTAATCTTTTGGTTGTAGGATAGAAGTAAAATTCTGTATTAAGCTATGCAATTTAAGCGTGGAGTTTTTATTGCCAGCATAGGCCTATTGTTGCAATAAATTTTAAAAAGAATTGAGGAAAGAAAAGATTATTGAATGTATTTTCAGTGCTCACAATATGGTATATAGTCTATCCAATAAATACGCGAACTGATGTCATAAACACAGTATTTAACAAAATTAGGGTAAAGCAATCTTATCCTGTTGAAATACTTCCCATTTGTAGCAATACACTTTCCCACCTTCATGTTCATTGTTGAAAATATCCCTGGAAGTCTGCAGGAGTCAGGCTCTTCAGGTACCTTGTTGTTTCATGTTTTATTGTTGTCAGGTCATTCCGGTGCTGCCCTCACATGACCATTTTACAGTTAAAAAACAAAAAGAAATCACAGAGGGCTACGTCTGGTTTATAGGAAGGGTGATTTGGTATTGTGATTGAATAATGAGTCAGAAACTCGCAGATAATCACTGATGAATGTGCAGACACATTGTAATGGTGCAACAGCCGTCCATCCTCACCACACAAATTTGTTCGTACTTGATACATGTGAACCCTCAAGCATTTAAGAACCTCCGCAGAGAAACCACTTTTCATTGTTTGTCCTGGAGGAAGAAATTCAGGATGGACAGCATCATGAATGTAAAAGAAAATAAGCTTGCATGGCTTTGATTTTTTTTTTTATCTGTTTTTTCGGCAAAATTTTTTTTCTTTCTATGGTTAAACTTTTGCTTTTTATTCCCTGCTGTATCATTTCAGCTTGATGCCATACTCATATCACCATAATTCATCACCAGTGATTATCCTTTCTATGAATTTGGAAGTTTGAATGGAGTTTTTCCCATTGGTACTGCATTCTGTCTTTCTCAGCTTTTGGTCAGGAACTTTGGGGCAATTTTTGCACTCAGTTTTTCCAACTCCAAATTTTCTCTTAAAATCGTGTGCACAGATGATTTTCCTAAATTCATTTGATCAGCAATTATCTGGTCACTTAACCCCTTAACTGCTGCGGATGTATATATAGGCCTTCCTCAGCCAATGCGTTAACTGCCCCAGGCGTATATATCGTCCTTCCAAAATACTATCATTTGCCTTGCGCTGCTACCTGTAAAATGCTATACAAAGCTGCTACTGCAAAGCTTTGGAATGCAACACCACAATGACCTTGACAAAGTATGCGAAGAAGGATACAGAGAAGTGTGGGGAGAAATTGGAGAGAGGGATGTGTCTAAAGCCGTGAAAGTAATGACTGCGCGGTATTGGCTGGTGTTGTTTGAGTACAATATATATATATATATATATTTTTATTCTGTGTCCTCCATTTTCATTTATTTCATTTACTTTTTGTAGTGGGTTCCAGGAATGAAGAAAGATATAACGGATGTTTTAGACCCATTTATCTTTTTTGAATTATTTTTTGATGAACTGCTCATGCTTCATATTGTTACTGAAACTAACAGTTTTGTAGACGAGTATATGAACCAACACCTTGCAAACGAAAAATGAAGAACAAAATCGTGGCATTCAACCAGTTCAGAAGAAATATATGTGTTTTTAGGCATACTGATTTCACAAGGTACAACACTGAAACCTGATATTACACTTTACTGGTCTAAAAATTAATTGATTGAAACTCCATTTTAGGGATCTTTTTTATTATAAAAACATCATTTTTATTATACTTGCATCTTTTTATTATACTTACATCTTTTTATTATACTTTTACTCAAAACATTAAATTTTGTGCATTCATTTTTTTCTTTTATTCTTTATTTTGTGAAAGTAAACAGTTTTTAGAAAGTAAAACTTGCACTTATTTTCCCCCTAATACATCGCATAACTACGCGTGCCTGTGTGAAAAACCGTGGCACTGGGAAATGAATCTTGTATGTTTTTCGCGGCAGTTAAGGGGTTAAGTCATGATCAGAAAGCACAAGAGACTGCACACATTCAATATTGTGTTCAACAAAAGGTGTTGATGGTTGTCTTGGCCTTGCCTCATCCTTGAAGTCTTCACGACCCTCACTGAAATGCTTGATCCACTTAAGAGCTGTTTTCTTCAGTGTGTTTTTTCCATAAACACCCCTCAACAGTTCATGAATTTTCTGAGAGCTTTTTCCATGTTTTGTCAAAAATTTGATGTTGATTTGTTATTCCATGTGTTTAGTAATGCTCATCATCGACAAGAGCCCCCCCCCAAAAAAAGGGGGGGCACCCTCCAGAAATTCCATCTCTAGCTGTACATTCGCCTCAGCGGTCTGGCAGTTATTGCTGTTTCAGTGGATAGCTTGCCAACAGCACAGCACTCAAGGTCACCCTACTAGCTCATTTTATGAAATTATTGGACAGACTACATATTGTATTTAATAATGAAAGGCAGTCTGCAAAGAGAAAGAAATAAAGTGACATCAGTTCGTTGCAAAAATTACTTCATCCTTTTAAAGGAGGATAGATGTATGTTCACAAGAAAAATAAAAAAGTCTTATTTCGTTGTATTTTAGAAATATTTTTCTCAAAATTTTTGTATTTTAAGTGTTCCATTTGATAGCCTTTAATCTTCACTATCTTTCTATAACATAATTTCAAAGACAATAAAGCTTTTTTTAGTATTAAAAGAGGTATTTTATAATTCAGATATTCAGGTATTTTATCCTATGCTTCTTGAACTGTTTTCCAGAGGATTGTAGGTTGATGTTTTGACCATTCACTTTTTAAAAGTCTAAAAGTGCAAATATCAGTGGATCGTACATTAGGAGATTTAGAAGGGATATGAATGTAGGTTATGGCCTTGATACTCGTTTCTTATGCCATTTTTTTCCAGGAAATTAATAGTAGATTTTGATGTGTGGCTGCTTGTTTGGTCTTGATTCTCAGTTCTACTGATTGATGGCACTATGGCTAAGGAAAAGGTATTTCATATTTGAGAATTGGATATGAAATATATTCCTGATAATATGTCGAGTTGACCTTAACAGTTTTCTGCACTGTCTTTTATTTTTATTTGCAGCTATATCAAGAACCAGTAACTATCATAAATCTCTTGAAAAAATTTTCTTTAAATTTTTTGAGCATGTTCTAAGATTTTTTTCTTCTCTTTGATGATAATAAATTGATTTACTTTTATTGTGATCATTTAAATATGACCAAGATTCATCTATTGTGACAACATTTTCCCATTTTTGTTCAAATAATTGTTTCTTATAGAGAATTCTGCAGTGCTTTCTGCTTTTGGCTGTATGTCGTGAAGAAAGACTCTGCACGTTGCATTTTTCACCCTTTTAAGATTCAAATCAGCATCAATCACCTTGTTTACAGTCGACAGTGAGCATTTAAATGATTATGCAATTGTCTTTTTGACTTTGCAGATTTTCTTTTAATATTAAAGTTCTTACTTTTGCAACATTCAGAACATTTCTTTTTCCTTGGATATGTATTTTGAACAATTTTTCTCCTTAAAGCCAACCTTTGACATTTCCCCCCTTTTTTTATTGATAATATTATCTATTGTTGCTTTAGATACTGAAAAATCATGGCTTTCACGGGTGTTCTTAATAACTAGATACAAATAATTTTCTTTAGAAAGAGTACAAACATAGCCTTCCACCAATTGCTTCTTTAAAAGCGCAATTTTGCATAAAATAAAACTACCAAACAGAGCAGATGATAATTTATACTTATAAAAAAAAAAAAAAAAAAAAAAAAAAAAAAAAAACCTTTTTTACAAGAAGACTATTTTTTTTTTATAACTAAGCAAAGCAAAGTTGTCTAAAAATTGTGTGAATAGCCTTAGTAGTTCTTGCTTTATCAGTATCTCAAGATTTAATCTCCAGGGACTGTTGTTTTCCCATTCTTGTGTCTACTTCACAATCTACCACTACTATGTCACTTATTACTTTTGTATCTACTTTTTGTTTTTTATTTCACTGATAGGATTTTGAATAATAGAACATGTGCAGATAAACTGACCATAGAGATACAGGAACTGGCTGTTTTTATAGAGAAATCCACATCCTGTTTTGTGTGATTAATTCAAACAACTGCAGGGAAAAAAATATTTTTTTTAATCAAGCACTAATGTTGGATAATTCAGTAATGTGAGCATAAGCAATTTAATTGTGTTCTTTTTTTATTTGCTGTGTGCCAGTAAATGATTATTGAATCCTGAATAATTACGAATGGTGTTATAGATTCATCCATATCTTTGGGCACCATTAAGGAGAAGAAAGACATGGCACAACTCCATCTTAATTTATAATGCCTCAAGAAATGGAATTTTAATGTTTCATAGCTTTCGTCAATTGTTGAATTAATATATGTTAAAATATCTCCATTCCATAATATAAAAAGTGCCATATCAGGGATTGCAGTCTCATCCTTTTAGTATGAGAACAATTTATATATATATCTATTTTTAACAGTAATTATACTGTTAATCAACTTAAGCCCGATTACTGTTGAAAATATTCATTTTCATTGAAAGTTCTTGAATTAGTGAATAATATGAATTCACTTGTGCATAGCCATTTTATTACATAATTAAAAAATTATTTCTTTAAATTTGACCATGTTATTCAAAATCACAGTTATCAAATATTAGAGCAGTGGTTCTCAACCTTTTTTCCTCTGTGCACCCCTTTCACCATTGCTAGCTGATCATTCCCCCTACTTTTCCAAAACTTGAAAAATACATGTACAATATTTTTAATGTGTTTTATGAACTAAACAAGAAAAGGTATAACATTTTTAATAAATGTTAAGACTTGAACAAAAGCAGTTTTTTATATTCATCAATTAAAACTAAATACTTAACAAATAAATAAAAGATTGACCACATTCTCCCCTAAAACTACGAAATTTACCTGCCCCAGTGGGGAAATTTCCTGCCTTCAAAATAATCTCTCCCCACTCTGCTGTATATTTTCCCCAGCATTCTGGAAACTGCTTTATTTCCACTTCAAAAAAAGTGTTTGGCTTTATGCCTATTCACTTTCAAGACTGCAATGATAACCCTGAAAGTTAACTTTACAATGTTGAGACATTCCATTTGCCTGTGTTGCCTGGTCTTAGAAGTTCGCAATCCCTTTCTATATTAAACATGGAATAGTAATGATGTATTTCACAGAACAAAGCATTGCACACTTACTGTTATTGTCCCAAGTACCACATATGACTGTCAAAATTTATCTCCCCCTGTGCTGTCAGTAGCTTGTGAGAATCAAAATATGCAAGATCCATGTGACACAGGAATTATTGCTAAAAGCATCCAACAGATTGGATCATATTTGTATGCTATATAAATAAAAAGATGGTTTTTTAAATAGCTAAACATTAAAAACAGTGGTTTTTAGAAAGTATAGGAAATGGTAAAAGAATATGCTTTTTAAGAAAGAAAATTTTATTCATGCAATAAAAAAGTATTTAAATTCCTTATTCTGAAATTTTTTTCCCTTGTGGAGCTCTTGCTGCTTATTATCTAATTGTATATCTACCATAATTGAGAAAAACAGATTTTGAACTGAATATTTTTATTTGTTATATGACAGTATGGAATTGTTTGATGTAAGCTAATAAGAGATTTCTGTATTATTTTCATAATTCAGTTTTAATATTTAACTGTTATGTTTTCATTCTCAGGTGTTTGAAAGTATTGAAAACCGAATTTGTGAGAGATATTTCTCGTCGGTATGGCAAACAGTTTTCAGCTGAGAAGAAGAAGCTTTCCAGATAACACCAGACTGTTTTGTTTTTACTCCATGCACAGTTGTCAAATAATTTTGACTTAACAAAAGACTAACTAAACTAAAGGGAATTTTAACTGAAGCTGTCTAAAAGAAAGAGGAAAAACCTCTCTGTATCAGTAGATTCTTGGAAGGCAGAGCAATTTTGTGTTGATAAAAGTTATATATAGTACTTTTATATATATGTTTGAAGTTTTAAATTGGCATCTGTTTATATTATTTAAATTCCTATTCTTGATTTTTACCATGTTATATTTACAGAGTTCTTTGTATATATTATATCTTTGAAGTGTATTCCTGCTGCAAATGGGTAGACTTAGAATTTGACCTTTCCTCTCGCCTCTTACTTTTAAAAAGAAAAACATAACTTTTCTACAGAAAGAATTCTGTGTAATAAGCTTAGCTCAGTGCTACCTCGAAATTCCTTCTTTTTTTACAATTTTAGTGACTTAGTCATTAGCGATAAAGTATGTATTTTCTTACATGCATATGTGTAGTAAAACATCTAATTCACATATACTGCCATTAATGATTTCATTTGTAGTGCACTCGTAAATTTAATTTCAAGAATTTTAATAGATACAGTCAAAAGTCGTTAATTCGGACACCCATAATCCGGACCTCCTACAAAATTTCTGCACATGCCTCGTGCTGACGCGTGCACCGTAAGACCTTTACGGCTTCGCATGTGCGTGTGTGCATGTGCATAGTACGTTTACACATGCGCGTTTAATGTATAACGGACGGTATAAGCTAAAATTATCTAATTATCTATTTCAGTTAATGTTGCAGATTGCATTGTTCCTTAATCTTCGAATTGGATCAGGCTTATTATTTTTTGCAGACTGTTAGAGCAATTTTATAAAAGTAAGCTTGAACTTTCGATTATGTCAAATAGAATTTCCGATGCTGGAGCTCCCAAAGGATCTACAAAGCGAAAGTATATTTCAATGTCCATCAAACAAAAAGTGGAATTTCTGCAAAAAGTGGACAAAGGCATGAAGAAAGTGACAGAGAGGTGATTTGTGTCTCTAACCATTCCAAAATCTGTTTATCAATTTCACGCTGCTGTGCCGGGGGGGGACGTCGCGGTGCGCGATGAATTGGAAGTTGATCTGTCAGCACTATCCTCATCTTCAGGGCAGATGTTTTTATTTTATTCGATTTATAATTCTTCACTAAATGTAGTGTTTCATCGCAATGCACTCCGATATAATTTCAATCAATAAAAAATTCGATATAAATTCAAGCATGTTGGCAGATGCGAGCACTGTGTGTTCGGGCGTTATCCTGCTGAAAAATTGCATTAGGCAGCCCCTGAAGATAGTGAATTAAGCAATAGCACCCCGAACCATTATGCCACGTTGTCGCGCGGTGGGGTGTTACACAGTTACTGCCGGATTAGATCTGTCTCCGTGTCGACGCCACTTATGTATGAGGCGACTGTCACTGGATAAACAGAAGCGCAAGTCATCTGAGAACATGACGTTTCGCCATTCTGTCATCCACATTCCAGTCCAGTCCGGCACCATTCTAAACGTTGGCGTCTATGCTGTGGGGTCAATAGCAGTCTACTTAACGGATGCCGTGAGTACAGGCCATGTTCAACCAATCGACGGGAAATGATTCTCAACTCGCCCTTCTCAGTCTGATCACCATACCCCTCGTAAAATCATCTATCTGCTGGAAGTGCCTTCGTTGACGGCGGCCTGGCATTCTCTCCTATTACACGTATCCTCCAAGACAAAAACCAACTTTCTTCGACAATATTTGTCAGACAGAAATAAAGACACGGAATATTGCCCATTCTGCATTTCTTTTGCTTATATCTTACTTCACGGGCGTCGGTCGGAGAGCTGCATCATTTCACATCATTCGCATAGAATGATGCGAGCAGCGCATTTCACATCAGTGACGTGCGTCTACTCTAAAATTTGCATAAATTTCTGACCACTCCTTTTTGGTGTCGCATTTTCAATATCGAGCAGTGTATGTTAGAGAGGTAATGTTTTCAGTTCAAAAAATTTGATAGCGTTTTTTCAATGAATAAGCACGAATTAGGGCATCCACAACATATTATTATTTTTGCAATGATGTTTGTATGTATGTATATGTGACTATTTTTTCATCTATGATAGGAAACATTTAATTTGTTTTCTGTATTAAAGCTTTCTGCAATCATAAAGATATGATAAGAGTTGGAGTAAAACTGGACAACCAGAAGTGGTATTTTAAACCTCATAAAAGTTTTGAATTAAAAAAAAAAAAAAAAAACTCAATTAAAATGTAAGCTAAAACTTTTCAGTTTCAGTATTTGGCTTTTATATCTGTGGAAACAATAGATTAGATTTAAGTTAAAACTAATAAACTGGGAGTGATACTTTAGCTGAAGCTCTAAACAGTTTTCTGTTAAAAAGTATATTATGATACAATTTTAATTCCAGAACCAGTGGCCATTGTTTGATGCCTAAATATTGAAACTAAATTAGGATATTCGTTTCAAAATTATGTATTTTAAATATATTATAAACATTTAACTTTCTTTACTTAAAAACTGGTTTAAGTATGAGCTAGTCAGCTTTCCAATAACATGCAATTTTTAATAAAACGAAAGGGGCGCAAATATTTGATTATGTTGTTTTGATTAAATTTTTTTTTTAAAAAAAAACTTTTTATGTACAGGCAATTATACCTACAAAATGTAATTTGAAATTCCATATTACAGAGTTTTCTGTTTGTTGGAACAATACATGAGATTATGTGCACAGACAACGAACCAGAAATGATACTTTACCTATTTAAAACAGGGAATTGGCAGGAGGACATGTGCTGACTACATTGGATTTTTTTAGTTCTAATTTGACATAACTTTAAAAAAAGTTTTATCAGCTGAATATTGAGTTTTATTTAACAATTCAGTTTTATCAGTGACTGTAGGTTTTTATTTCTATTTACTTAATGGTAAAATACCATTTAAGGTGTTAAACTGCAATCACAAGTTTTTATTGTTTTAATTTTTACAGTTTGTTGGCCAGTAAATTTAGAAGGAATTAGGCATGCTATCCAGATAACTGCTTTAAATAAATATTATATTTTGTCTGCTTGCCTGAACAGGTTGTTTTTAAATATCACTTCAGCGCAAGTAATAGTTAAAATAAGTAAGTTACCATATAAAAATAGTTACTGTTAATACTTTTCTGTAAATATCCCAGTTGGAAATATATAGAGAAAATTTATCAAAATAAATTAATAAAAAAACTGTAATTATAAATAGTAATGAATATTTAGAGATATTCAGGATACTTGATTTAATATTATAGTTATAAAGTAATTGATGATTTTCACTGTTTTTTAATTTTTAAAACAAACTTGCTCTTTCTTCCAAGTGTTTTATAAGCCTCCATTACTCTCACACATCAGTCAGATATGCCTGGACATCAGGGATATGCAATAAAGTCCAAGACTGCTGTTATTGGGATGTCGTTCAAAAACAGGAAAGGAACCCTATAAAATAATTTTTTAGCAATTTCAGAGTAGCTATATTAAAATGTTTTTCATTTCAATATTTTCTATTTATTTATAACCATATTATATTTTCCTCAGGTTGAGGAAGAAAATTTGTTAAAAAAAATGAATAAAAACGTAGTTTTTAAAAAGTGTGTTGATTCTATGCGTCATTAAATTATTATGTGCATGATATTTTGCTTTGTGTTCAAGAGGTCTGTTTGAAAGGAAATCACTCATTTTGATATTAGAAATATTCTTAATATTTTTTCAGCGTTATATTGCATGATGGGACCATACACTTGTCATCCATGGGCTTTAATTGATAATAATAAATGCCATTGTGTGTTATCTTCTGTGTGGTTTGATGCATAGCCAGGCTTCAGAATGCAGCTACTTGACAAGCACCAGATCTTTTATGCATCTTTCAAGTTTAATTAATTTCTTATCATTTAATAAGCAGGGTGATTTAGGAGCAATCAGTGCACTTCTTAATTTTTTTTTTATTAATGTATCTCATTAATATAAATCAGGGTTTCTTAAACTTTTTTCAGTCATATATCCCTTTTTGTCACTGAGATTTTTTCACAACCCCCAGGACCCCATAATATTTACAAAATTTTTCTGGGACCCCGCAAAGTAATGCGCAAATCCGACACACGTGTGAGTGAAACTGTCAATTTTTTCATTTGCACTGTAATATACTATTGCAGTTTTAGGTCATTAACTTTAATTTCTAATTTTAAGACATAGAACAATGTAAAAATTTTAAATAAGTAACAGAAGAAATGGCAGCATCATGTGCAAAGCAAGGAAAATGAATGTTTAAATTGTAAAAAGAATGAGTCGATGCGTTTTCATTTTGTTCTTTTTCTGTATTGGCTTATCTTTATCTATTTTCAGATACACTGTCTAAAAATATTTGTTAATTGTAGAATTATTATAATAAGTTAAAGAAATATCAAAACTGCTAAAATTTTAGGCGAGCCCCCTTGCTGCAGGGTGGCGATCCACAGTTTAAGAAACCCTGATCTAAATCAAAATACATTTAATTTATAAAGACACACAGCAGTATTGTGATCAACAAGAGATGTTTCTAATTTCATATGTGGTGTACTGGTGCAGAATTGTTTGATTTCTTGATAATATTACTAATTGATAATTTATAGAAACATTTCGAATAGTTTTATAATTCATAAAAATATTTTTAGTGACACAAATTACATTAAAAATATCTTTTATTAATTACAGTATGACTTCAAATTGCATATACCTAGTACAGAATCATTTGATTTTTATAACATTTTACACATTACAGTATAAAAATTCAAAATGAGCATTAAATTCTGGACTCGCAAAAACGTTTGTTGACATCGACAAAGATTTAAAAAATATCTGAAAATGTATGTAAATTCTTCAATCTGATCCACTCTTTTTCTGCAATTGAATAGCAAAGTTCATGGATTTTTGAGATTTACTGAAATCATAATTCAACAGCTATTTGCAGTGCTGTTAAACCATGAAATTAATTGAAAAGCATTTTTTCGTCATCCTATTAATTTTTAAATGGCAGCCTGTTACTGCTGCATCTTAGCTTTCTTGCCATCTGACAAACAGGTTTTGGGCAGTGATATATTTGATATGCATAATAAGTAGTTGCTTGGGAGCTTTTAAGGTGTTTGTGTTTTGGCAGTAAATTTGATGATTGCATCTGTTTGCTCTTCATTGAAGATACCTTTTTATACAGTTCCAACATAGTTATGTTTAAGACACAATAACACGCTGGACAAATACTAATTCAAAAGTCAAACAACAAAAATCAGTGTTATATTTTCAAATTTTCGCAGGACTAGTTTCGATGGTTTTACCGAACCACCATCCTCAGCTGTAAAAGCGCAAATGAACGAGATAGGATATAATGATATTAGATATGAAAGCCTGGGCAGAAAGTAAGCTAGTGGCGCCATCTGTTGATGAAACCAGAACTAAAACATAAATTAGGATCGTTAACTAAAGCAAAGTTTTTTTGAATGTGAAATGCCTCAAGAAAATCCAGTTTTCCAATGGAAGATGCTTTTTGAATAATTTTGGCAGCAGAAAAATTGAAAGTGTGATTTTCGGACTAACAACAGAAGAGGTTGTTGGGCAACAGAAGACTTCTGTGTTTCTTTTTTTTCTAGCATATACCTCATGTTCCTTGATGCTCTAAACATGTCACTAAACTCTTAAACGAAGGACTATATAATCCCATCCCTAAAGATCCTTCACCTTTGGAACTGTCAAAAATAAATACTGCGATCAAATCTTCACAAATCATTTCAAGTAGCTTAA